ACAAACAGGAATCTGTCTCGTAACCCGTGTTGTCGGAGGAGGAGGCAGCTGCGGGGGAGTTGGAGGATTATTTTTGGTGGTGAAAGGTTAAACGAAGAGGCTTGACAGACTACATTAACTGGATTATCTGTCATTGTCGTCTGGATTTCAACACAGCAGGATTGTCAGAGAAAAGTCCTCGTAGTCATTTCCCCTGCAGACAAACAGGCTGCTCATCTTAAAGCTGAATTATTGTTCACTGGATTGTTTGAAAAGGGAATAAAGGGAGCAGGATCACAGCAGCCTTTGAACCAGATATTGAGACTAAAAGCTGTAGCTTCTAGCAGACGTTTATTTGAATACTAAATTAATTTTATTAAATTGCCTGCAACCTCAGAAAGATTCCTGCATATCACTTCCTTTTCATTTCCGTTTTGTCAGACGCCTTTGTGCCGAGTATCCGCTCTGAAATTTCAAGTATTTAATCAAATGTTTGAAACCAGAGAGTGGATTTAAAAGAAAACCCTCTTAAATATAATATTCTAATAACTGAAGCTGGATTTAAGGGTGTGAGGTTTTCTGCTTTATTGGATCAAACAGCTGAAGGGGAGAGAGGAGAGCAGTGTTATTGTCACTGAGAACCAAAACCTGAATGCCCCAGCAACAACCACAACTAAAAACTAAACTAACTCACACACAGATACAGTAAACATACTCTAAACAGTACCACACAGTACCACCAGTACGACACAGAACCACACAGTACCACACAGTACCACACAGTACCACCAGTACGACACAGAACCACACAGTACCACACAGTACCACACAGTACCACACAGTACGACACAGTACCACCAGTACGACACAGAACCACACAGTACCACACAGTACCACACAGTACCACACAGTACGACACAGTACCACCAGTACGACACAGCACGACACAGAACCACAAAGAACCACACAGTACCCCACAGTACCACACAGTACTACACAGTACCACCAGTACGACACAGTACCACACAGAGCCACACAGTGCCACACAGTACCACCAGTACGACACAGAACCACACAGTACCACACAGTACCACCAGTACGACACAGAACCACACAGAACCACACAGTACGACACAGTGTGACCAGTACGACACAGCACGACACAGAACCACACAGAACCACACAGTACCACACAGTACGACACAGAACCACACAGAACCACACAGAACCACACAGTACCCCACAGTACCACACAGTACTACACAGTACCACCAGTACGACACAGTACCACACAGAGCCACACAGTGCCACACAGAACCACACAGTACGACACAGAACCACACAGTGCCACACAGTACGACACAGTACGACACAGAACCACACAGTGCCACACAGAACCACACAGTACGACACAGAACCACACAGTACCACACAGTACGACACAGTACGACACAGAACCACACAGTACCACACAGTACCACACAGTACCACCAGTACGACACAGCACGACACAGAACCACACAGAACCACACAGTACGACACAGAACCACACAGAACCACACAGAACCACACAGTACCCCACAGTACCACACAGTACTACACAGTACCACCAGTACGACACAGTACCACACGGAGCCACACAGAACCACACAGTACGACACAGAACCACACAGTACCACACAGTACCACACAGTACGACACAGAACCACACAGTACGACACAGAACCACACAGTACGACACAGTACCACACAGTATGACACAGTACCACACAGTACGACACAGTACCACACAGAACCACACAGTACCCCACAGTACCACACAGTACCACACAGTACCACACAGAACCACACAGTACCACACAGTACGACACAGAACCACACAGTACCACACAGTACGACAGAACCACACAGTACCAGTAACACACAGTGTTACTGTTACTGTTACTGTGAGTGTGAGTGTGAGTGTGAGTGTGAGCCCTACTGTTACTGTGAGTGTGAGTGTGAGTGTGAGCCCTACTGTTACTGTTACTGTTACTGTGAGTGTGAGTGTGAGTGTGAGCCCTACTGTTACTGTGAGTGTGAGTGTGAGTGTGAGCCCTACTGTTACTGTGAGTGTGAGTGTGAGTGTGAGCCCTACTGTTACTCCCAACTACCACTATTACTAAGTATTACCAGGTTTACTACTACAGCTACTGTCAGTACTACAGCCATTACAACCACTTGTGCTGCTGCACCTGCTTCAACTACTATTACTACAACTACCACCAACCATGTCAAGTTCTGTTGAACTTTAACAACTTGTACTACTACTAGTACTACTGCTACCACTGCTAGCACATCTACTACCTACAAGTACTACCACTGATGTTGCTGTGGGACCTACAGTTCTAATACAACTACAACTGCTTACACTGAAACTACCACCCACACCTAGTTCTGCTAAATACAGCTTCTACTACTGCTGCTACAACTAATCCTTCTACTATTGTTACTATTCCTACTACTACTATTAATACTATTAATACTATTACTACTATTGTTACTACTACTACTACTACTATTATTACTAATACTATTATTACTACTATTACTATTATTACTATTGTTACTATTACTACTGCTATAGGAGTTAGTGCTGCAGTTGCACACAGGAGGGAGTAAAACAAACAGAACAGAGTTGGACAGTGGACCCGCCACCGGATTACAGATTAAAAGCAATTTCTAATCTTCTTTTGCTAGGCTCTTCAGATATGGCCAAACTTGGTGATGTCTGAGCTTCAGCTGACCTACAATAAGTTAATGCCTTCAACTTTCCCCCACTTGTTCTCATCAAAAGGTCGCTGGTTGGTGCTGATCTTTGCCTCACAGACGCTCAGGGTACAAACACCCAAACAACAGCAGCAATAAAGTGGCCATAATCAGTCTGGGGAACCAACGGGGGAGGCACCCAGCGGTCTGTCCTCCTGTAAATCCACAGTCTTATTTCTACTGCAAATCCTCAAAGAGACACAACCCCCCCCCAATCTCCTGACCACCAGACTTCCTCCACATTTCATCATCATCCTCCTCCTCTGGGAGCGAGGGCATGTGGAAAAACTGGTTCATGACAGAGAATTATCATTGTTTATATCAGAAAACTGCATTTAATTTACAATTTAACAGTCCGAGATTAAACTAGCAGTCAATTAATCATTGGGTTGATTAATCTGCAGCTATTTTAATAATCAATTACTCGTTTGAGTCATTGCACAAATGATAAACATGCTCTGCTTCCATCTTCTTAAATATAAATATATTAGTTTTTTAGTCTTATTCCATTCCATTAAAACTAATTAGTATGTTATATGCAGAATTCTCCAAACTTATTTAAAACGTGTGAACAGAATTTATCTCAATAAAGTCACTTAAATGCATCTTTTGTAATACAAATATTCCTACTTATGTTGAATTTATTCTGTGTTCTTCCACTAAAGCAAATTATTACATTAACTGTCGAAGCGTTACAGCACTGTGGGGTTTTTGTAATTAACTTAAAGAAAAAATGTTCATTCATGTTTTCTCATAAAGAAACCTTCACAAACATACTTTATCTTTCATAGAACATAAAGCTTATTAAACATTTTCCATAGGAATTCACAATAAATTATTATATTATTATTATTATTGTTATTATTATTATTATTATTATTATTAACAATAAATGATCGACTGTAATCTGATTATCCCGATAATTCATAATATAAATTCATCAGCCGATAATTGATCAGGACAGATAAGTTACTGTGTGTAATAGATACTAGAGATGTAACTCAGGATTCGATACAATTCACAATGCTGGGATCACAATATGATTTAATTATTATTATTTAACAAAATTATGGTTGAAAAAAGACAGAAATCTACAAAATATTTCTCATATTTTCTTTATCAAATGAAAGAAACCTGTTTTATCTCTGAGGGTATAAACTGTGAAACAGTGAAGTTGAACTTCTGAAACCTTTGACTTTATTTATTCTTCCTCTGTTTTATCCGTCTTCACATATTCATATCACAGTTTAAATGTCTCACCATATAACTTACTGACAGTTTTTAAGTTATAATAATAATAATAATAGTCAGTAAATCAAATACAGGCTCATATAAATATATAAACCAAACTACACACTGCTATTAAGAAAATATACACGTGTAAATAATAATTATCTTTCTATACTTACCTTCATACGTCTCTCAGATCTAAACTGAAGAATCCTGGAACAAACATATTATAAGAGGCAGATTTATCTTTAAAAGCTTTCTTTACTTCGTTAACAAACATCATTTGTCTGAGGCTTCGGCTGGGACTTAGAGCCTGAGATGGCATAAGCTTCTGGACTTATGGGATTTGAAACAAAAGCATGAAAGTCGAGTCAACAGAGGATTTTAGCATTCATTTATTCCTCAGAGACAGACTGTAATGTCACAGTTCTCGCTGTGTTTATGTAGCGTCTGCAACAACATGCAACAGGATCATTTACATAATCTTTATACATTTAAAACACTGAAGAGTAAAAACTGTGAACAACAGACAGAGCAGCTGAAATAAAGTTGAGGATGAGGATTACAATAAGTTTAATGGCCTGGTCACCTGTGCTGTCCCTCCAGGGTGATGTGCTTATGAGGACCACCCAGACCAGTAACGGCTGTCGACTGGAAGGTGTAACTTTACTGGGTCAGTACACCGTCCAGTTTACGGGAGCTGTCAGTGCTGTGGAACAATGTGAGTTTTATTGGTTTCAATGCAGTGTTGGGTCACATCCTCTCCGCGCCGCTTTCCAGGACTGCTAAGATTAAAACCCACCCGGGAAACACCAAGTGGGCCGGGAGGGGGTGTGCTGAACAAACTGGTCATCATGGTTGACAGATGCCCCCAGAAAGCCACTAACAGGATGACGCCAGTGCTGCGAGGGCCGTGGGGTAAAGACGGATTATGTCTGAGCAGTAGATAAACAGATTATTCCCGAAACGGTGCCTTCTTTTTTAACCTCGTCACTCTTGCCACACTTACAGCTCCCACCGTCCCACGATTCCCCAGGAGGAGGAGGAGGAGGAGGAGGAGGAGGAGGCGGAGGAGGAACCACCTTCCTCCATCAGATGCACATCCCAGGGTTCATTAGGAGAGTTTCTGCAGCAGCTCAGGGGCCTTCAACGATCTCCGTCTCCATGCAAACTCAACACTCCCTGCATCAATGAGCTCCACCTGAGCCGAACCCTGCTGGATTCACTTTGACGTTTATATTCTGGGAACTCTTCGTCCACAATGCGGTGGGGATTTGGACTCTCGCTGCTCTTTGTCCTCGCTCTGCAAGCCTCTGGAATTAAAGGTAAGCCTTGTTTTGTTCAATCCTTTGAGCCTCGACCCTTCAGGTCTTCTACAAGCTGGAGTCACTGGCTTTTACTTTCATTCTGTGCATTAAAGAATACAGTTGGCACTCCTCAGTAGATGAAGAGCAGTTAGATATGAGGATTTGAAGAGTAAGACTATCTGTACACGTACTAAAGCAAAGCCTATTACGATTGCATAAGTACTTGGCTGTGAAATGTGTTGGCAGAAGATTCATGGGGTGGCAACAGGTTGGCACAGAGGGGATCTTAGGGGCCATTTCTAACCCTCAATCCCCCTCCGGCCCCCGACAACATGATGTTAGAAATATAATATAATCCAGCTCACAAGATAATATTATATTCATATAAAGTTCAAATAAAAACAACGTATTTCGATTGGTACAAAGGTCAAATTGTGCTGAATTTCCATTATTGGAATAATTGTGAATATCACATAACACAGTCCCATTATTGACTTCCTGATTTATTTGGAACGAGGAGACAAGGAGGAGCACACGTCTAGTTATTCCAGAATCCTTTGCCTTTACAATGTGTATATGTTTATATAGTATAAAATATATTTTATGTTAATATAGTATAAAGTATATTTTATGTTTATATAGTATAAAATATATTTTATGTTAATATAGTATAAAGTATATTTTATGTTTATATAGTATAAAATATATTTTATGTTAATATAGTATAAAGTATATTTTATGTTTATATTGTATAAAGTATATTTTATGTTTATATAGTATAAAATATAGTTTTGAATTTGGTCTAGACCTGCTCTATTTGAAAAGTATCCTGAGATAACTTCTGTTATGAATTGGCGCTATACAAATAAAATTGAATTGAATTGAATTGAATTGAATTAAATTATAGTATATTTTTATGATTATCGTTATAATATCACAATTATTTTGGCCAAGATAATCATGACATTAAATTTATCGTCTCCTATGAATGATGATGTTAGTAATGGGTATAATTTCAGAGTGTGTATTGTAGCACTTAGGAGCATTAAAGTGGTCCTATGAGATTACAGGACAGCAGTTGCACCAGTGGTTTGAGTTTGAGAGCTCTGCTTTAAGTGGTGGCAGAAATATGTGATCATTTAATCACAAATAATCAAACACTGTAAAAACAAAAAGTGTGGAAAAACAGTAATATTCCAGCAGCGGTGCCAAGAAAAACAGTAAAATAACAGAAAATAACGTAATTCTTCGTAATAAAGTAAGTCTCTAAAATTAAAAAACAGTTTCTAGCTTTAATTTTACATACAATCTTTTTGTCTTTTTAATGTTTAAAGATAATAAGCAGTGCTATGAGCTATAAATACCGGAGAACACTGCTATAATACAAATAATCCGGCTTACATTTACAGCAGAGTGCTGTTATTATTTGATTTTTCTTATTTTAATCTGAATTTTAAAAGTTATAGAACTATAATAAAAGTCATTATCTGTGTTTGCACTGATAAAAACTGTATTTGGACAGTTTACCAGTGCTTATACACTGATAAACAACATTTATTCAACGTGTTTTTGGTTTAGATACTTTTGTACTGCTAATTGTCACTAATTATACATAATTTTAGAAATGTATTAACAGTATTAAACTTGAATTCAACAGTTTTATCTATTAAATGAACAGTAAATATCTGCAAAAAAATTATAGATTTGCAAAATTTATTTTGAATTTTAATGTGAAAAAAAGGAAATATTTATGATTATTTACAGTTACAGATTTTACATTACACTTGAAAATTCACAGACTCTTTTTGTAATTGTATTAATATTTTCATGTATTTAAAAAGATAGACAAAATCTGTCAAACAAACAGAAAAAAAAACGTAAACTTACAGATTTATTTTCATGTATCAGTGTTTTCGAAGCTTGACGGGAGATCGTGAGACTTACACATTTAAATACACACAGTCCGCCTATATCTCAGCATTTTGTTCATTTATGTGAAGAAGACTAAATTAAATAGTTGTTTTTAAAGTTTAGATTATTATTTAAGATCTAAACTAACTAACTAAATTACTTACTCAGTTACAAACCATAAAAGTAACTAGTTACTTAAGAAAGTAACTATTGCATTACTGTATGTAGATATTATGTTTATATAGTGGATCGATACAAATAACACAATAGATGTTTTGGAACTTTTGATACTTATTGGCCCTCAACAGGCCACAACTGGGCAAAATTAAATTATGCTTGTTAAGCACTATACCAAAAATAAATAACCAATATTTACACTCTTTGTAGTGCAAATAAAACAAAAAAACTTCAGACAATTGGTAGATATACTGTACTTCAAGTATTTTCTTCCTCGAAAAAGTAGAACAGTGTAACAATATGAGGTGCTTTCAATCTAACATAATAATAATAGCATAATGTGCATTTCACGATTACATTCGTTCCTTTAATTTCTTGGAGGGAAAAGTAATGGCTATACTTCCATTTAGAGAAGGCTACTTTTGGATTATTTGGGCTCGCCATACCTTTCTCTCGTTAACTGACTTGCTTGTGTTGTTCGTTTTGTGTCCGACTATGCGTGCTTTCGAACACCCGCCCAACTCTACCTCTGATTGGTTTACCATGAAATTTTACTCAACCTCAGCCAATCGTCAGCATTTATGCGCTTGTCTCATTCACTGCCCACTAACTAAAGAAGAACAGTAAAAAAAAAGTCTTTGCTTCTCAGCTCAGAGATCTAGTTGGTCTAATGAAAAAAACAGCTTCAATTATAGTAACGCACCGCATTTTTTGGCAGTAACGGCAACGGCGTTATTACTAAAAAAAGTAACGCCGTTAATAACGCCGTTATTCCCATCACTGTTGATCACAGTGTACAGTGACAGAGCTTCAGTCTCTGAACAACAGCCTCATCCTGCATTAGAAAACAACCAAAGAACTGATAGAATAATGAGGATTAAAACTCTGAATCTGTCAGAAAAGAAGAATATTAAGTCTGATTGTTAAAGTGTATAAAAATACAGAATGCAGACATATCATAAAACTAAACAACCTTCTTGCAGTTATTCACTGTTTGGGCTCATTGTTCAGTTTATCCGCTGTTCTCTGTTGTTATTGATATTATTAAATATAATATGAAATATACATAAAATATAGAATATAGAATGATAGAAAAAGGTCCATTAAGGAAAAAGGTTGGGAACCACTGACATTTATCAATATTTGCTTGGAAACCCCCCAAATGAAGATGTGTGAATTAAAAAATATTATTGTAGCACATTAGTAAAGCACTGAATAAAACTAAAAGTGGCATTAGAAATAGAATAGAAATACTTTTTTTCTATTCAAATCTTCAGACATTTTTCCAAAAACAAACCAACCAGGCCCCCGTCTGGATCCGCCACCCTGGGTGTCGGACCCTGCCATTGTTTCACCCTTGGAAACAAAAAGGCCATTTAAATGCATAATAAAGCAGCATGAAGCAGTAAATCCATTGTCTGATTCTGAGCTTCAGCCAAAGTGAAACCAGTATTTACAGCGGGCCGCGAATATATGCAAACATGTCCACAATGCAAATGAAAATGGAAAAAGGGATAATAGCAACGTTTAGTAGATTTACTGCCAGTTCGTTGACAGCTTGACAATCTGAATTACAGTACTCTGCAGACTTATTTGTTATCAAAAGCCATAAACATGACGGCGAGAGGGAGACTTATCAGTCTCGCCTGAATATTCTAAATATAACACATCATCCTGCCTGAGCTTCACCTTCACTGCTTAACATTATATTTATTTAAAAGTATCAATTAAGCAGGCCGCCCACTTTGTCTGGTGCCGCCTTAAATATATCAGCCACATGCATATACAGTACGCTGAGTAGAGGCTCGTATTCCACCCTTCAAGTACAGTGAGTGCTTTTATTTTTAGGACGAGTGGGCATAAGGAGGGAGAGCGAACCCCGAACCCTGGCAGGAAGATATGAAGCTCAACTCACATCCACAGATATCACAAACAGTTCTATAACCGGCTTCATATGGACAGAGAGGAATAACGAATGCTGTTGATCTGGGTTATAAATGTGTGTAAATTGAGGTCACGCTAGTTTCCATTGGAGCCTGCTTTAATGTCTTAGCTGAGCTGATTGTTTTTTATTTTATTTTGATTTATTTTCCGTCCCTAAAGGTTATTGTGTGTCTGCGAGATGAAACCGTGTACAGTAAACAAGGTCCGCTCGCAGAGAGCAGCTCCAAACACTCCAAATAGGTTTCTATTAATAAAAAGTACAGAAAGAGAAGAGACGAGCTGCTGGTGGAGACAGAGTGAAACAATGAGCCTCGAGCGAGAACAATTCATACAAACTGATTTGTTCTTAAGTGGCACTCGAGTCATTTAAGAGAATGTGTCACATCGAGTTCAGATGTGTCAGTCACACACACACACACACACACAAACACACAGCCTTTCTCCAGTATAAATATGCTATTAAAATATACTGATCACTCAAATAAACTTAAGTCTTTTCCTTAAAGGACCTCTTTTATTAACATTGACTAAACTGACACTGTCACATATTTTATGGATATTTCATATTATATTCAGTGCAGATTATTTCCTGTGAATATTGCAGCAGACATGAGTATCAACTGAACGGAGAGTCAACATTGACCCATCAAATATGATCCAGTTTCACCCAAATTATTGATAAAGTATAGCTGAATATAAATAAATATAACTAAATATAACTGAGGATGTGATCTTACACTGATCTGGACTTTAATCCTCCCAACCTCTACCTGTGATTGTTTCACAATTAATAAATATATTATCGAAATCTCAATCTGACCAAGTGCAATATGTGAATCATATCAAGGTAAAATGTGACAAACAGCGTTATAATGAAGTTCTGTAGTTCCTGATCTAATATTGTTCTCCAGATGTCAGAAAACATGTTTGTTTGCTACAGAGCCAACGAATGTCTCATCATCATGACTTTAACATAATCATATCACAATATCTGTCAAAATAATTGTAATGTGATATTTTTACCATATTGTGCAGCTGTGATTGTTTCTGAACTGCAAACAGCAAACAACTGTATTTATTTACATCTTAATGTTCATCAAATATAATCAGAAAGCTTTAAAGGCTTTCTGTTGGCTGATTGAGTGAATGGAAACAGACACTGACCCTTAATCAGCGATCAAAAGATTCATTTTCTGTTGATCAGTTAATCCACGTTAACGGTTTCATGAGGATTTATTGTTTGAAATATCTGATTATTGTTTTTAAATGCAACAAAAGCTGCTGACATGAGCCCGTAACACAGTCTCTTTATTAATGAACATTTAACTTCCTTCATGCTTTCAGTTCAGATCTCAGGACAGATTCAAATGTTTGTGCTGTTTGTTTTAAGCTGCTTGTCGTACCAGACGGGTGGAGTTTACGGTAAATAGTAATTTCTGTCAGTGATGGGAAAGGACACTAAATCCAGTTTGAACTGTCTTCAAATCTTGTTACACTGGCTGTTAGGTCTTTCAGTAGTAAACACGACCCATCTGTTGCTCCACCAAATGCCAGGGATTTGGATCTGACCAGGATCTGTCACTTCCTGTCTGTTTCCTGTTCAGAGAGCGGCCTTGGATCGGGCTCGGCGGTGAAATCAAAGGCCGTCGGCTCCGTTGGACGGTTGGCCAAGCTGCTGAAGACGTCCACGCAGACTGAAGGTTCAGGGTTCGAGCTGAACAGACGTCGATCGAAGAGGTCTGTGTTTCTGCACTCCGGGGTGAGAATCTGCCCCCAAGAGACCCTCAGCGAAGTGCTCGCCAGCCACCAGGCGTACTACCAGCTCAGAGGTACTTCACTCTATCACATCAGCACCATTCATTCACACTCATCCTCTTATATTCCCTGGATGTTAGGGAGTACACCATTATCTGTATCAGTTCAATCAACTGTAATCTGTACTCACAGTAGGCGGGGCTTCAATCTGGAGTGGGCGGGGCTTACCTGACGTTTATTTAAGTCTGAAGCTGATACAGGTTGATCAGAAGTTGCTATATTCACAGAGCAATGCTTCTGATCATTAGAGAAAACTTTTATTTCCACCATCACTGAGACTCTTGGAAGAGTTGGACACACTCACTGACTGTCTGTCATTAACTAACCTGTGAGGAAGAGTTGGACACAGACACACTCACTGACTGTCTGTCATTAACTAACCTGTGAGGAAGAGTTGGACACAGACACACTCACTGACTGTCTGTCATTAACTAACCTGTGAGGAAGAGTTGGACACAGAAACTACTGACTGTCTGTCATTAACTAACCTGTGAGGAAGAGTTGGACACAGACACACTCACTGACTGTCTGTCATTAACTAACCTGAACACACAGATCTCTTCTGTTACTGCCCTTCACTGTTTGGGGAACTTTTACAGAATGTTTGCTCTCATGAACTGTGATTAACAGTTCAGCGACACGTGTGAGTATGGTAGAGCCCGAACGGTGGTGGTGGCGAGGGTGAGAGTGCAGGGAGACGATGTGTCACAAAGGTGCTGGATCAGGTCTGACCTCAGGATGTCGCAGGTACATGATCTACAGCTGAGCCAGCTGAGCCGTCAGGATGAAGTGACTCCTTCACCTCCTCCACACAGGTTGTCAGTTACAAGCCTGTTTCTGTCAAAACTGCTCCACACAGACACTGACAGTACACACACAGTACAAACACAGTACACACACTGCACAGACAGAGTACACACTATACACACAGTACACGCACAGAGTACACACACAGTACACACACACAGTTATAATGAGTCAGTGTCAGCGATCGGCTGCAGGATGATGATATAAACTTGACAGTTTAATTCTGTTCTGCACATTATTTTTTTATCTCCACCGTTATATGCAAATATCTGCTTTAATCTTTTTCCTCTTCTATTATCTTGTCTTATCTTTCTTTGATCATTTTGTTTTTTGATCTTTTATCATCTAATATGGACTTTAATGTCAGAAATAAAGTGATCTGATTCAGTTTACTGCAGCAGGTTTATCTTCTAACTCTTCTAATGCAACACGTCACCAGCCTCACTGCGCTGTATCATCATCATCTGTCCGTCTCATTCTGGTGGGAACGATTCTGTATCGAAAAGAACGAATAGTACACGGGTTTACTCTGAATATGTTTTATTAACACCTGTACCTGTATCTGTTCCACCAACTGAATTATCTGTATTCGTATCAGAAATGGGCGGGGCTTCAATCCAAAGTTGTTAATTTAAATTGATACAGATTGATCAGAAGTTGCTATATTTCAATAAGTATAGAAAGATATTCACAGATCAGTTTTTGATCACAAGAGAATGAGTCTCTGTACTGATACAGAGTGTGTGTACAGCGTGGAGCAGACTGTCACCATGTAGAAGAGGCTGCACTGTGTTTACTGTGTGTGTGTGTGTGTGTGTGTGTGTGTGTTTGTTTGGTCAGTTTGTCAGGAGGCTGTGTGGGAGGCGTTCAGGATCTTCTTCGACAGGATCCCCGGGACGGCAGAGTACCAGAAATGGGTTCACACGTGTCAACACGAGTCGCTGTGCATCTCTGACCTCGCCAAAAACTTCAGCAGCTCCGAGGAGCACATGAACATGGTTCACAGGGTGAGAGCCGCCTTCAGCACTGTGCCTGCATACATATATCATATATCACATACAGCTAATGGTTGTGGCAGCAACACTAAATGTTTATATCAGAGGAAACAGTCACTGCCAACATCACCATGTCAACTAAAGTCAACTTAAAGTTACAAACATTGGAATCATAGTTAGCCAAGGAACTTAATCCTGCTAACTTAACATGTTGGTCAGTGTTCTGTACGGCTAAAAGATTTATGTTTTGAAATGAGAAAATCGGGAATTTAGAGTACATTTTGAGATTATTTACACACATTGGAGCTGCATTGTACATTTAAGAGAGCTCAGTGTCATTGGTACAAATGTTCAGACGTAATATTTCTTCAGTTCTGCTGACGTTTTTTTGCTGTGCAGCGGTTTGTTATTGGCCCTTAAAATCAACTTAACATGAATCAAAATCAGCCCACTGGGAGCTGAAATATGGCCACTTACATATTAAATGACCCTTTTGTGTTTAGAAAAATTCAGGATTCAGCATCCACAATAAACCCCAAAACCCTGTGTTGTCAAGAAAAACTCCTGGAAAAGGATATCTTTAAAGAGAGGAACCCTGCTATAATTTGTACTCTGTGATCCTCTAAAACACACACACCGTTATCTGTAAACTCCAAACCATGGTGATGGTGGACGTGGAGTGTTGTTTTAGTTTGTTGACCAGCACTTGTGTTGTAGATTCTTCAGTAAACATGCAAACATGTCGCTCTCTCTGAGCTGCCACATGGACTCTTCTGATGCCAAGAAGACAGAGAACATTTTCACTCTCAGCTAAAGAAAATCTGTCTACATATTCCTGTTTAACAGTTTTAAAGGGAAACCTCAGTGTTTTCCAACCTGGATGGCATACATTTTTGAAAATGGTCAAATATTGATAGAGAGTGAATGTAATTGCTGTAATACAACTGTGCACCGTCAATGTACGTGCACTAAAAGTTGTTTTTGTGTCTGACAACGTTATAGAGAGAATCCCTACCGAGACAGACCTTAAAGAGTGAGGTGCTTGTTGTTTAACCAGAAAAAGCCAACATATCGCTCTGTTCAAGGCCACCAGACTCCATTGACAAAAACAATAATTTTACCTGGCAGGACAAGACCCTGCCTAAACCCCGCCCCTTTTTGCTATGTGCTCCAATAACAGTTGAGCAAACCTCAGTCAACTTCCTCCTTTCCTGTTCTTAGATATGCTATGTGCTAAGCTAATCTATGTTGAAAAGACAACCATATTTTGAAGATGGTTAAAAGATAAAAGAGACACTCCACTGTTATTGGAGTAGACCAAAAAGGGGCGGGACTTAAGTTAGGCTCTAAACTAACACAACAATCGTACTCTTACTTACTCTTTAGGTCTGTCTCTGTAGGGATCATTGTTTGTAATGTTGTCAAAGACTTATAATAACAATATGATAACAATAACTTAGATACAGAAAGATGGGAAGTTACCCTTTAATAGTGAATATGAATGTACAGAGCACTGTTGCAAGAAATAAAACAAAGTGCTGAAGCCACGAGGGCTCAGAGCAGATCTGTGTAATTTGGGTCAATTGACCTTTTTAAAAAAACACAGAGAGGGAAGTTTTCTTTTCTCATTAACATTCACACTCATTTTTGGAATTATACAGCAGAGATTTAATGGGTTTTATGGCCTGAAGGGTTATAAAAGTCCCTCAAGGCTTCAGAGACGGCTGCAGCAAAATGTATTTTTAAACCACCAAACACAACAGCACATAATGGCATTCGCACAAGCCCCAAGTGGAACGAACAGAACATACAGGTGAACGAATCAATTAATCAGTTGCTCAATCAGTCATCAATCCAACGACTTCCACTGAGAGCAGCAGCCGCCGCTGACACCTGACATCATTATTACAAACAAGATAATCATGTGGCCAATTAGTGCCAAAGTGTTAACGTGTGTGGAGTGACGGCGTGTTTGTGTGTCGCTTACAGAATGGGATTGTTTTGTTTACAGAGGATGAACCGGAGGACAGACGGGAGGACGCCAACACGGTAGGTGTGACAGTCTCTCTGCATACACACAGATCACATGAACCATAGGAGCTAACAGTTAGCATTAACCCCTGCAGGACCAGACAGGCCCCGGTCAGACTTTATTTAGACAGCACCTTTCATACAAAGTGACTGACAGTTATTGAAGAATCAATCAAGGAATTAAGAAAATGTATACATAATTATATAACAGTTCGGTCTAGACTTGCTCTATTTGAAAAGTGACCTGAGATAACTTCTGTTATGAATTGGTGCTATACAAATAAAATTGAATTGAATTGAATTGAATAACACAAGGTTGCATAACGAGATGAAAGTTTGTAGTTCCTTTTTGCTTCACAGATAGAAAAAGATAATTAAATCTTTAAAAAGTTTGTATTTGATCCAATGTAAGAGTGGGGAAGACACTTCCTGGTGACTGAAGAACTTTAGACCCTAGCTTGTTTCTCTGATAACTTAAGATCCAGACGTCCGATGACTAAAATCCTTCATCCGGTTCAAATCTAGAGTTAAGAAAACCAAGTTGGGGACAAGAAAACACTGAATTTGTCAAAAACGAAGCCTATGACATCTGTATGATTGTTAAAGAAGACATATATACACAATACAGACAGAGAATTGTATTAAAAAATCACTAAACAGGAAATAATCTGCTCAGAATTCATCCAAATCACAAATCACACAAACTTCCTGCAGTTACTGAGTTCACTCTTTGGGTTCATTGTACGATATAATATGAAATATCCACAAAATATGTCTCTTAGTTTATTAAATGTTAGGGGAAAAGGTCGGGAGAAAAGCTGTATGTTTGAATGCATTTGTCACATTAGGTCTGATGTCACTTCAATAAACTATATAAATGACTTTAATCAGACTTTTATTAAAGTAATAATACTACTGAGAGTATTTGAGTGCAGTCATTTCCTCCTGCAGTCTAATAAATCTAATATTTTGTCTTCATCAGTCTCGTCTTCAGTCTGTCTTTATCTCCGTCCAAAGTGAGTTAACAAATGGAAATCCTTGATATTATTTGAATGTGGGGCTCTGAGGAACAATCAGGCTCTTGACTTTATCACGTGGCTCGGCTCTTTTACTCTCTGATCGCTCCAATAAAAGGAATGAGAGGCTTTTTAATATGCGCAAAACATACAGAACAGTTCCCACAGACTTCGTCCTCACCAAAGTCCAAACACGAACTCTGATTCAGTGTTGTTGTTCATTAATCTGTGAGTCAATGGTCACACTGCTTTCTTCAGGATCAAACATAATAAATGAAGCTGTGATGAGTTGAGATGGTTCACTCCATAGAAGAGCTACAAGGTTATGCTGGATACATTCAGCTTAATTAAAAACACTGAGGACTTCACTAATGAAAGGGACCTTACTCAGCAGCAGAGGAAGCAGTTGATTAGAGCTGATGGAGGATATCTGCTGTTTTCATTCCGATATCTTTGAACAGTTGAAGCAAGCTAACTTGCCGTGTTAGGTCATGTGACAGCAGTCGAGGGACTCAGTTAATTTTGCTGAAAAATAATTTTGAATTTTGATCCGCTCCAAATTGTGGTAGTTTCTTCCTTGGTTCACGCTGTACCCTTCCACCAAGTTTCATAAATATCGGGCCTGTAGTTTTTCCATAATCCTGCTGACAAACAAACAAACAAAACATGATTGTGGTTTCATAATTATTACTTATTGACATTATGTACTTTTTGTTTCCCTCTTGTGCAGAGGAGTTGTGCCTCCTGCGCCGACACACAAGATCTTGGAGATATCAGGTAGAACATTTATAATGATCTGATACCAACTTCTCATTATAATGACAGAATAGTTTTTTACTGATTTACTTCGTGGTTAACGTCCATCTGATGTCCCTTCAGGTGCAGAAGGTCAGACTGTTGGCCCGTCACCAGCCTCGTCACCAGCCCCGTCGCTGGCCCCATCACCTGCCCCAACAACGGCCTCATGGCCGGCCTCCACCGGCGCCACCGTCCTCCTGAGCCCGGCTAGTGTCCCTTCAAGCCCCGGCCTCGATGGGACCCCACCCACCGAGGAGGTAGCAGAGGTACCAACGAGCACTTACAGTTACATTGTAGGTGTTTAGTCGACGCTCTTATCTTAGAGGGGCAGGAGCTCCACAAGGAGGGTTTGACAGGGAGGGCTGGAAATGTCACACTCGAGTACTTGTTCTCCGGGAAATTATACATCAGTTAAATTACCGGTGTACATTTAATGTTTGAGTAGAAGTCAGCAATTTATGCATCATGTTCTTCTTCCTTCATCATAAGATACATGGAGCTTAATGATATTTTATGCACTCATCATTTATACTTTACATGAGTGCTAAGCATTATTCTCCACACCAGAGCAGTTATTTGGATTATAGTTCATGTTTAAAACATCCCGCTGGTTCAGAGACATGTTGATGGTGTGTGTGTGTGTGTGTGTGTGTGTGTCGAGCAGACAGAGGTTTTCTTACCTTTTGTGGATTTTCGCAGTTTTTTGTCCCTAAGAAGTGATTTCCTGGTCAGAAACCTGCTGTGTTTCTTTACATATCTGTCAACCACTTTTAAATCAGTAACAACAGTAAGACAGTAAAAAATACAAAGGCAAACATAATGTTGGGACAGGAAAGGATCGAATGTAAACCAGATGGACGTCAGTTCACAAGTGAAAAGCAGTTGGTTAGTTTTAGTCGAGATTTTAGTTTTTATTTTGCAGCCAGACAAACTGCAAAAAAACAGATACCAGAAGTGAAACTGTGACAGGAGGAAGGGGTGCTAGTGGTTTTAGTTTTGTAACTACACTGTAAGTTGTTTGTTTGTTGTAGCCTTAGTGTTGCTAAGCTAGTGAGTTTCTTCAAGTTCGAGTTAGTCGAGTTGTAAAATGTGCTGAAAAGTTGCATAATTAGCATTTAATAATCAGCTATATGGACACTGATTGGCTGATCTGACAATAAAGGAGTGGTTTTGGGGGTTATTGAGGATGCTGAATCCATTTCGGACATTTTTAAAATACAAAATGTCCATTTAAACAGTTAGTGACGACATTTCAACTCAAAATTTTGAGGTTATTTATATGCACACATAACCACAGCAACAAACACACAGGTCAATGACAAAATGCCGCAAAGCAAAACAGCACAAAGAAATATCACGTCTGAACATTTGCACCAATGATAATGATTCTTGATTGTAAAATTATCATTTAAAAAACCTTAAAACTGACTAGAAATCAGCCCAGCTCAGTTAAAATATGTCTACTTCCAGTTTGAACCACTCCTATATTGTCCAAATCAGCCAATCAGCTGCTAAAATATTGTCATATGGCTGATTATTAAAGCTAATTATACATTTCCAGGTTTGTGTTGCTGGCGAGTTGAATAGAAGGTAATAAGACATTCACTGCGATAGATCACCGACCTAAAGCAAAAATAACTTATTGAAATGAATGGAAAGCAGCGTCTGTCTGGAAGTCAGGAGTAAAAAGATGAAACCCTCCAGTGTTTGCTGAAACTTCCCAGTTATAGTAATAAATTCTAACTTCCATATTCCGCCTCAGAGATTGATCACGTGACCTTCTGCACACAGGAGGGGCTCCTGGTGTGTGCGCTGTCTCCCCACAGATAATTACTGCTTGCTCCTGATGGACTTCATACTGACAGAGTTTGTTTTAGCCCCACCTGAGCTCTAGCATTGGAGATGTTCCTGGTGCAGGTTGAAAGGGCTGCGCTGTTGTCAAACAGGACTGAAATTACAGGGATAATTTGAGTTTCTGCTGTCAGACACTTTATAAGAGCAGGTTATTACTCTTTTCACCCCACACGTCTCTCTCTTGAGCCAGACTGAATGCTGTGCAGTGAAAACTGGATCAGATTTTATGGAGAAAATATTTCCTGTTTTTTTTCCTCTGACGTCCTCCGGCTGCTCAGTTTCAACTCTCTGTGATTTACAGAGTTTCCTTATGGACAGATAGCTTTAGCTAAGGTAGCTAACAGCTAATTAACTGTATCTGCCGTTAGCGGGCGACAGAACTGGGCTCAGCAGAGTAAAGTTTATTTTGGGACACGCTTCAGCTCGAGCCTTGAAATCCCAAGAGTCAATGTCAACGCCACTGAAGTTCTCTGCAGTTTCAAGTTGAAGTCATGAAAAGTGACATCAGTGAAACATACACACTGAATATACAGTTTATTTATCTTTGATCAGCTTTTACTGAAACTGGTTTATTTTAAGTGGATTTTCATGTAAAAACCTTGTTCGGTAAAAGATGTTACCTTGTTCTCTCCAGCGTTACCCCGATACTGACTCACGTTTCATTTGTTCCCGAAGGACTCGGAGCTCCCTAACGTGGTCCCAGAGAGTCCGGTGGAGCAGATCGTGGAGTTCAGTATCGACCTGGTGGATCCAGGTTACAGAGAGCTGCTGGACGATCCAGACTCCCTTCAGTACATCGACCTGGTTTACCACCTGCAGGACCAGGTGGGACTTTTCTGTCTTTACTTTGATTTTCCTTTTTATCAAGTGTATGTACAAACTTTCAGGTGTTTAAGTGTCTTGCAAACGGCGGTTGCTAATGAGCGGCTAAATGAGACTCATTGACAAGCAGCACAGAGCAGATTGCACTGACAGGAAGTCAGACACAGAAACGACATAACAGAGAAACACACTGTCATCATGAAGCTTTATTAATAATCCAAAATCTAATGGAAAAAATCTCACTGCCTTTTATGGAAGGAATCGGTGCTCCACCATCCACCACCTCTACCTGCCACAGTCTACACGAGTCTCTTCTCTCCGTCCTGATAGTAAAGAAGCTTACACCACAGGGCCGTGAGGTCAGGGCCAGAGAAAGCGAGAAGATTACCAACAATCCTCTCTTTCTGCCAGTGTTTTCCTGTTGTGGAGCTCCTTAAAGAGACTCATGTTGAGAAATTCTGCCCTTCAGTGTTATTTCCTCAATAAAAGACTCTTAAAAAGGCCTCGGGATCATCTGGAGCTGCACGCGATCCGCAGCAGGAAGTTACCTGATGGAGCCCTTAAAGTCGATTATGTCATAAGAGCGTCGAGGTGATTAACCCGGCCCAAAGATAGATATCAGCAAGGGTTTCCCACTCATGCAATCCTTTTTTTATACTGACACATTGGCAACCTGCCAGCTTATTAACGAGCTCTGAGTTAATGACATCAGCCTCTGCAGAGGGAGGGCGATGATGAGACGACTGATAACTTTTTCTTTTTCAGATGCAGCATGTTTTTGACAAACTCCCAGGATTCAAAGCCCTCCGTGTGCTGGGAATCAGGTGAGTCCTGAGCGTGCAATACACGTCAGAATGTTCAAAGGTTTGAGCGAGCCAACGAGAGCGGGGGGACACGGGGTTAAAGCGTAATCAAATCTTCACCGTGGCCACAGCGACGGCGAGGCGTTCCACCCAGCCTCCATAATTTCATTAAATTTGAAACGAGCGGCTCCTTTGGCACGGACCGCCATTTGAATAGATAAGAGGCTGCTTGTCATTGGGATTGTGTCAGATGCTGCTGCAGGCGAGAATTTCATGCAATGACTAACCAGACACAGCGGAGAGGATTTCTTTCCTGCTCTGCTGCTGAATGGATGCAACAATATAACAACAATATAATGACAATATAACGAAAAAATGTACAAATTAAATGTTTACTTGAACATGCTGCAAGGTGTTTTTAACTGGTTATGAAACAGACTCAGTTTAATACCACAGTTCCCACGCAGCCTGGAAAACACCTAAAACAAAAATGATAAAGAAAATGAAGATTTTAAATTGAGTGAACCGTGAAGAAAATACTCAAAAATACAATCCGGAGAAATAAAAGTGTCAGTTATTCTCTGCTCTTCAGGAGAAACTGTTTGGATGGCTGCACAAAATAACTATTAATATTACTATAATTTTAAATATAATAAGAAATTAAAATTTTTTCACTGTTATTTTAACCACTTCAGAAAACAAAATACCTGCATTTTTCATCACAAGGGACTCAAATAGAAAGGTTTAAGGTCATAACAGGAGACAAAGTGAACCACCAGTAATGAATAAAATGTGTACTGTATTTATGTATTGATATTGCCAACAATAACCTCAGTGAAAGTGTTGAGAAATTAGATTTAGCACGATTTCTCTTTTAACTCTGAACTTATTTAAAACTCTTTTTCCTGTTAAACAGCAACAGTTTCAGGGTTTCAGGTTACACTGAAGTAAAAACTGGCAGCAGATCAGTGACGGATGGAAACGTTACAGCGATGGTGTGTTTACTGCTGTCAGTCACTCCTGACACACACAGATCAACATGTTCCTCCAGAAATATAGTTTAAATGATAAATATAGAAACATTTAGACGGATGGAAAATGTTTTAAGATCATAAAAAGGTCAGACTGAAAGTTTGCTGAAGCCTTCTGCTTATTGAATGCCTTCATTTTAGGATAAATGAATCAGAGTTCTTGATTTTTTATTGATATTTCATCACTGGAATGATAAACGATTATCTGCTGAGTTGAAACAAAACTGGTTACTTAACATGACAACAATGCAAACAAATGCAGCCAAAAAGTCACATTTTATACACTAACTAAAATAGAATAAATCCAATAAAGACCATAATATTAACTCTGGGCTCTGCAATCCAGTTGATGGGACAAAACTGAGTTTCTGTCTGAGATACATGAGAAACGTCTTCCCAAACCTTCAACAGGGTTCGACATATTAGTTATTTTGTACAGCTGTGTGAGGGGAATAAAAAAATCAACATGCACATTTCAGTGTCTGAGTAAGAAAGCAGCTCCTGATTGCTCATCTGCTTACAAAGTTAGTGATATTACGGTTATTCAGCAGTCGCTATCGGGTCATAATGAGGCAAGAAAACACCCAATTTGTTTGTGAAGAATAAAAGGACGTATCAGTTAGATGTATTTTGGCATTTTGATATCAAATAATACATTCTGGGCTAGTTTGTTATAAAGATTAAATTGTTGGATTTAATCTTGTGTGTTCTGTGTCTGATTGGTTTATTGGATATAAATGTTCTCACTTTCATCCCTTGGATTTAATGTGACTTGTAGATCCATAAAGAAATCAAACAATAGCTCCACACAGTCCTGATGAAGCAGCTCAACACAGGCTTTAATTGTTTATAACTTTATCCTGCAAAGAAACACAACCAAGTTCGTCGGTTTGTGTAGAATGTGAAGTTGAGTCTTCCTCTCCCTGTTGGTTTTATTCTTCCTGCTACAGTTCTCATTTACAGCTTTTTCACCATATTTCTCTCTTTTCTTCTCCCCGATGAAAGCGAGACCCAGGACACTGACGGGTAAATGACACACAGAGAGATGAAACATTTCCTGTAGTACCCCCCACCCCTCCCTGTGTGTTTGTCCTGCCAGTATGCAGCTCAGCATTTATTTGGATCTAAGTCAGATGCAGAGAGGGGGGATTATTTCCCCCAAAACCATCCAGACACTTCAATACAAAGCAGAAATTGCACAGTGACCTGCAAGGACCAAATAACTGCTGAGACGAGAGGATATTTGCCCTGTGAATCTCTTTCTTGTTAAAGGTTAACAAGAGGCCTGTGGTGCTGCTTCCCCCTCCAAAATTTGTTAGAGCACTCTACACTTCTTATTATCAGAGAAGGCAGGTGAGCAGTGAAACAGGAAGACTTGTGGATGCACTAATTGTCAAGCTGCTCCCCTCGTTAATTTGCCTTCCCCCGTGGCGTGCGACGATGTCATGGCCAATAACGCGGAGGCGAGGCCTCAGCGGGAGCACGTCCTGTAATCTTGTGAAGGATTCACAACTCCTCCTGCTTTTGTCTGCAAGCACAAAGAAACCGCCTCAGAGTCGTGGTTACTTTTTTCATTTCAACTAAAAATCATGACAGAAATCTCTTTTTTTAAATGCAAAAAAAATGTATTTGTTCGGTTCCCAGTCAGTCAGGCAGGATTAGATACAGAAGTTAAAAAGTTAAAGCTATGTGTAATGTAAAACCTAGACGTAATGAAGACTTGCATACGCAGTGCCTTTAGCCATCCATCCCTTCAATAAAGGAGATCATCGGTTCCCAAATCCTCCCAAATTCATCCAGTCTGTCCTTAAGAATATGTCCGATTCCCTCCAGATGTAGGCTGTTAGAGGTTGGTACATCTTTCTTTTTCCACAACAAGAGAATAAGTTTCTTTGCACAAAGACAGTAGGACAGTAGATAATGCTACACACTCTGTAAGAGGATGTGGTCTTATTTGGACTTTAAAGATTCTTGAGAAGAAGAAAATATGTAATGTAAAACCAACAGAATGGCAGCAATACGTATAATCCAAAGAAGAAGTAGGGAATATGTAGCAGAGTGAGACCTCTTACCTTCAAATTTCACTGGGCACGGCTGTTACTCGTTCTGTCTTCGTCGCAGTCGCCAGAGTTGATTGCGCCCGTTCTAGACAATGCTCGAAATTCCACCAGAAGGGCCAAATTTCACGCTTAATCAACATTGTAGCACCAGGCCAGAAACAATCGGTCAGAGGAGATTTGAATTGGAGAAACACACCAGTTTGTTTCCTTTTTTTAAAATGCTAATATATACCTTTAAAAATACTTGTAAGCCAACAGCAGACGTGTGTTCAGACGTATGTTTCTCCACTTCCAAAAGAATGGCTTCCAAGCTGGACTGAAGAGTTTGTTTTTGACACGAACTCTTAAAGAACTGAACATTATTGGACACCTAGATGGTAGAAAAAGAAGAAATAACGACCCATTCAAACAAGTCCAATTATAAACGAAGCTGGGGTGGTTGATGAATGCACAATGTATTTGTCACTTCGGAGAATGTCACAGAACTGTTCAGATTAAATTCATCGGCATACGTAAACATTAAACATGTATTAGTTCACATCCCATGTAAACAGTTAATGCCAGCTATTGATATATAGAAACTATAGAGTGTAGCTTTGGGTTGTTGACATCTAGGACAAGGAGGCAGTCGGAGAGGTTTTGAAACCAGACAAAGAGCAAGGGGGAAAGAGCCACAGAGTGTTGCTTTGTACATCGGATAAATGAAAAGAGTTCTTTGAAACCAAGGTGTACACATAAAAAGACAAAAGGGAAAGAATAAAGCTTGTTTTGCTTTTATTGAAGAAGGTTGATCTGCCCTGAAGAATAGTTCAAGGCACATTTCTCTCCTTGAAAAGTTAAAAAGGCTCTAATACGTGGGCTGCACCCACGTGCCCCTACCTTCTGCCTGCCTCCATCAAAGCAAAAATAAGAACAAAGAAAAGATGCCTGGAATAGATGCCAGGTGACAACATGATTGGCGACATGTGGAGCCATGTTTGCATGCATAAAATATTCTGGTTTTTGCCCTTATTACGAAAAAGACAATATTCCAGCTAAGCTATTTACATGGCTACATTACACTAATATTCCTGTTTTAATGTAGCTGTGCAAACTCCATTTCCCTCTTTTCAAACTGTACTCATGTTGCTCCCGTGGTAAAAGTAGAACAGCTGGCCCCCAGTTAGCTCAGTCGGTAGAGCTGACGACCCATATACGGAGTTGCTGCAGCGGCCTGGGTTCGAATCCGTCCTTTGCTGTATGTCATCCCCTCTCTCTCTCTCTACCTACCTTTCCTGTCGATATTCAGCTGTCGTATCCAATAAAGCCATGAAAAGGCCTGGGCGCCCAGTTAGCCCAGTGGGTAGAGCTGGTGACCCATGTACCGAGGCTGAGTCCTTACTGCAGCGGTCCAGGGTTCAAATCCAACCTGCAGCCCCTTGCTGCACATTAAGGCCAAAAAAATAACAGAACAGCTGAAGCCATTTTGCATTTTTGCGTCATAAGTTTTCCACCTGTGGCAAACTCCGACTGTGCCAACACAGCCTCCCTCTTTCATTCGTTCAACCACCTTCTTTTTTATAGTCTGAAGTTTTATTGCGTTTTAAATCAGAAGGAGAACACGTGGGCAATCTGGACAACAAAATGCTAATTATGGATAAAATACATAAAATAATATACACAAAATGATTTTATTTTGCATGATGCAACATATAGTCACACGCATTTCGTTTTGTCATCCTGCCATTCTGTCGGGCCGCAACCCGTGCTGCGTCTACCTGAATCCATGTGAATGCAGATGAATGCCTAATTAGAAATATCCAAACAGAATATGCTGCTTACATGACGCTTATATTCCACAGTTTTTCCCAATTATTGTCATATTCAGAATAACAGTGGAAAGTAAACACAGTCATTGAGGCAACAGCAAAAACATCAGGGAAAATCCAATGAAGGAAGCTTAAACTGGATAGGAAGTCGGTAAAATTTGGGATACCAACCACCTAGGGAGAGGAGGTGTGTGTTTACAGATATGGGACACAATCAGGTCCACTCCAGACAAAGAGCTGTCTGAGTTCGGAATAAAGTATTGCAGTGGATGTTTTTGACGGACAACCACCACCTAATGCTTTTGTTTAGCAGACATCATTTCTCACAAAAGCAAGGAAATTCACATCATCGCCATATAAACAGAGTCACATCTCAGGGAATCAGCTTATTCTCTCTTGATGACAAGAGCTGTGCAGAATATTGATGAAGCTTTGATGCAGCATTTCTTTATTCTCTGTTTTTGAAAATATAGCCACAGATATTCGTGCTTGGCATTCTGAATGTGTCTCTCTTTACTAGTTCCTTTGTTTGTCACCTACTGTGAGTTAAACTGCGGTCTCTGCACCTTGAGAGTCAGAATCCCTTTAATCCAGAGTTATTAACATTGTCAGGACTTGTGACAATGATAAATTTGACTTTCTGTGTTGAACATCAAAGAATTAAAGGAACAACAGGCAAAAAATCACCATAACAGTAGGCCTGTATCAGAGGGTTGATATGGATTAGTTGATCTATACATTTATTGTAAAGAATTGGAGCCAAGAACTCTGAATCAAAGAGATAATATCTCCTTTTCAGGCCTGGAGGAATCTCAGTGCACTACTCTCTCGTCTTTGAGATCAATTCACCTAAAGTCAACTCTGAGAATTCAGATACAGCGACCGGCGCCCCAGAGTCTTCAGGCAACTCTGGCCTCAGGGAAATGGTCACCAAGGCTTTGCGGGAGGAGGCCTCGCTGCCAATCGATCTGGACTCACTGAATTTCGAACCAGGTACAATAGTAACATTTCTTAACATACTAAATGTCAAATATCATGGATGGAATTTTAATAATTCATGGTATAAAAATATAAAAATGCATTGTGCTACTTTCTTTTTGACAGAATTAATCCTCCTACCAGCACGGACGCCAACCTTTTCAGTGGAAGTAGTGAATGAGGTAAGAGGTTTTGTAATTGCTACAGGAACTACATTCAGGAAAGGAGGAACTTTAGATATACAGCAGTTTGTTTATTTTGCAGTAGCTGTGATTATAGTGAAAAATAATTAGGAAAAGTTAATTTATGTAATCCAGAATCACAAGTTTTCCTCAAAGAGTTTTAAAATCTTTACAACATCCTCTATCCTTGGACCCTGGTTTCACATAAGGACCCACCCCCACTTCCAAAATAACACTATAATGAATAATAAATAAATAAGACTAAATGTGGGCTCAAATAAGGCTTAAAGAAGTGTAGAGTTGCAGATTTGGTGTTGATTCGCAGTGGGATTGGCATCACAAAATGGCACTTTCAAATTACATAGAATTATTTAAGTCAGTGTTATAATAAAAATGATCACTTAATGTGATAAGTTTAAGTGTTATTTTATAGAGTGCCTTAGTAGTCTGCCTCTTCTATCCAAAAAGGAAGGAAGTTTTACTTTAAAAGAAAATTCCTATTAATTTCTCAGGAAGTTTCACAGAAGGAACAGTTCAGGAAAGAGTTATGTAGAGTTTGTAATTGACTGTCATAGAAATTAGCTTAAAAGCTACTATGGCAATAATGAAGAGAAAGATTGCTATGAATTTATAGTTAGAAATTTGGTTCTTTCAAGGAAGGAAACTAAGGGACTTGCAATGACAAATGACCACCATTGCAACCTTTTTCATTGCATTGATCATGTCATATATCCATCTCTCCTCAGTCCAGTGAGCCTGATTCACACAATGAGTTTGAAGTTTTCACTGATGAGCCAGAAGTTGATAAACCTCGGCTGGTGGTTCCCCTCACCCCCATGGAGAAGGAAAATGCACTTGTGACCCTGCTGGATCCCACAGCTGTCCCAGATGAAGAGATGACGGCTGTGACTGGTGGGATGGCAGAGAGCAGCGATCATTACCCTGCCTCAGAGGATATTACTGATGAGTCTGAGGCAATTTATGAGACTGAGCCAGAGCCATCAAATGAAGAAGGGGGGGAAGAAGAATTGCTCATCATTACACATGAGATTGAAACCATTCATCACAACGAAACCGGTGAACTTGTGAGAGACTACATCCCGACCCCTCCTGTGATTCCCGAGCTAGAGACAGATGCTCCATATATCAGTTTGTCTCCAAACCTCATACCCGAGGAAGACCTGACTCCTGTTGATGAGTACAGCCAGAATCCTACTTTGGATGTTGTTACCCCCACCTCACAGATTTTATTAACTACAGCCCCTGCTGGAGAGGAGCTGTCTGATTTGGGTCTCCTAATCACAACACTTTCAGGCATCACAGGCCAGCCGCCCACTGAGCCAACAATGAACCTTCAAGAAGATGAAGAAGTTAACGCTCTTCCAGATGAGGAAGAGGAAGAATTGGGTGTGCTTGAACCTTATGACCCTGTTGAGGTTTTGGAAACAGAGGATGTTTCAGAGTTGGAAACTAAAGTTGAATTGCTAGAACCAGAGGGTGAGTTAGTTGTGGAACCTGATGAAGAACTGCTGGAGGTTTTGCAGCCAACACCTGAACAAACTGAACTTTCTGTACCAGAGGAAGGGAATTCAGAAGTGTCAGGACCTGAGATAGAAACAACTGAAGTTTCAGAGCCAGAGGAAGAAGAAACTGAAGTTTCAGAACCAGAAGAAGAAGTAGCTGAAGATTTGGAGGCAGAGGAAGAAGCAGTGGAAGAGGAAGAAACAGCTGAAGTGTCAGAGCCAGAGGAAGAAGTAGTTGAAGTTTCAGAGCCAGTGGAAGAAGTACCTGAGGAAGAAATAGCTGAAGTGTCAGAGTCAGAGGAAGAAGTACCTGAGGAGGAAATAACTGAAGTGTCAGAGACAGAAGAAGAATCAGTGGTTGAAAATCAAGACGAGATGGCAGGTTCAGAACCAGAAGAAATGGAACTTGAAGAGGATTCAGAGCCAGAAGAATCCGAAGCAGATGATAGTGCAGTTGAGATTTTGAAAGAAGAAGGAGTGGATGTTTTACAACCTCAAAAGGAAACTGTTGAAGTTACAGAAGAGGAATCAGAAGAAGGTATAATTGAGGTGTCACATCCAGGTACAGAACCTGAAAAAGATGATGGGGTTTCAGATGAAGCTCCTGAAGCTGAGGAAGAGTTAGAACTCGGTGGGGATGTAGATGAGCAAGAGGAAGAGGTGATTGAACCTGCCGAATCAGAAGAAATAATACCTGAAGTTTCCCAAGAAACAGTACCTGAAGTTCCTAAAGAAACAGTACCCGAAGTTTCCCAGGAAACAGTGCCTGAAGTTCCTGAAGAAACAGTACCTGAAGTTTCCCAGGAAACAGTGCCTGAAGTTCCTGAAGAAACAGTACCAGAAGTTCCAGAAGAAACAATACCTGAAGATCCTGAAGAAACAGTACCTGAAGTTCCTGAAGAAACAGTACCTGAAGTTTCCCAGGAAACAGTGCCTGAAGTTCCTGAAGAAACAGTACCAGAAGTTCCAGAAGAAACAATACCTGAAGATCCTGAAGAAACAGTACCTAAAGTTTCCAACCTGGAAGCAGGGGTAGTTGAAGAAGAAGGAGTTGATGTTGCAAAACCTGTAGAAGAAGAAGTCGCTGAGGATCCCAAACCAGAGGATGCCATTGTAGAATTAGAGGAGGAAGTGGTGGAGATTTCAGAAGTTGTCGAAGCTCCAGTGCCAGGTGAAGGTGTTAAAGTGACAGAAACAGAAGATGAGGAAGTTGAAGCTACAGAATCAAAGGAGGAGTCAGAAAAGGTTTCAGAACCAAGTGAAGAAGTAGTTGAGGTTGTAGAAATAGCCCCAGAACCAGAACCATACCCAGAAAAAGAGACAGAAGTACCAGCTGTACCACAACCAAAGGAGGATGTAGTTGAGGGTGATCATGTGGACATATCAGAACTGCAACTTCCACCAGAAGCAGGAGAAGAGGCAGCTGGTGTTATTGAGGAAGAACAAGAGGAGGTAGCTGAGAATCCAGAGGAAACATTAGAACCAGGGGAAGGTATAGATCATGTTAGATCACCAGCAGAAGAGTTACCTGGGGTTTCAAAACCACAACCAGAAGAAGAAGTAGTAGTTGATGTCTCAGACCCAGAAGGGGATAGGTTTGAGATTTTAGAACCAGAAACTGGGCAAGATATTACTGAGCCACCAGCTGAATCAATTAAAATCCTTCGCCCCTTGGACGGAAGGAAACATCTTCACTTTGAAGAGGATACTGGTCAGACTGTTGATGGCAAAGAGTTTCTTCAACCAGTCAGTCCAGACCATCACCGGCCACATGAGGAAGATAACTTACTCATCATACCAATAGACATCCAGACTTCTGAGGAAGACGTAAGAGAGCCTGACCACGAATATCCCATTATCGATGACTTTTACACCGAGGAGGATGTTGACAGCGTAGACACACAAGTGGAGACCAACGCTGGTGCCACCACAACGACAGAAACATCTAAAGGTGATCTACAGTTTATTTTATGTGATTAAAGTGACTTATGTTAACAGTTGTGCACTGACATTACAGCAGATAATTAAAGATCTGATATATAATATTATTTCTTTAGGGCTGAACGCCTGCTGATACATGATCTCCCATGTTATTTATTTGAAATACTTTTCTCTACATTGTTGGTTCAGCACTAAAGATATTGTGATACACGATGTATCTGTCTTTAAGACAGGATTTCTGGATCATACCAGATACTAAGGAATAGTATCTAGGTGATTGTCGTATTGCAAAAGTAGGGACTTAAAGTGAAAAGTCAGCATGAAGCAGTTTGAATGTATTATGTATAATTCACTCAGCGGGCACATTTTTGTAATTTGTGGAAATCCTTTCTGAGCACTTAATTCATACTTTTTTGCCTCACATTTCAAAGAGGTGACAGCTCTAGGCAAGCAAGACACATCAGAGGGCACCAAAGTCACACAAGACTTGCCGGAGGAGATGCAAGAAAGGGATTCATCCCTAGAAAGAGACATCAGTGTAACGCAAGCTCCAGTTTTGGACTCCTTCCCTACACCTCCGGCAGCTTCTGTCGATGTGTCTGAAGTGTTCGCACCCAGCCCCACTATAGACTCTGGACTCTTTGAGGTAGCAGAGCAATCTGTAATCCCTTCTGCTCCGGAGTCTTCAGAGGATGATAGCACAGAGCCAGAGGCAGAGTCGGAGCAAAGCGCGCCAGCCATTGTCATTATCGATGAAGACTGGGAAGAGACAGTGCAGCAAGGAGGTGAAACCCAAACCAGCCCACCGGCAGCTACTGAAGAGGTCATTGATGAGTCGGTAAAGGACCTGGCAGTGGAGCTGGATCGAACGGACTTAGCAGCCACAGCTGCAAATGAACTGCCAGACGAGGCGAGCGGCTTCCCACTCATGGTTGAGGAACACACCACAGTCGGTGCCACAGCCCTGCCTCCAGTGAGATACCTGACCACACCCGCCATGACCACGGCCACCCAGGGCCGGGAGCTGGTGGTGTTCTTCAGCCTGCGCGTCACCAACATGGACTTCTCTGAGGACCTCTTCAATAAGACGTCTCAGGAGTACAGATCCCTGGAGAACACCTTCTTAGACGTGGTGAGTGAAACAGAAAGCTTGTGATTATTTCAAAACATCTTTAGCACTTCAACAGAGCAGTTTTTGGTTCACGTATAGCTCGATAATTTTGAATTATATCTCAAATATTTACAATTTTATATGATTGAATATCAGTATTACTCATACTAAACTACAAGTTTTTATAATTTCAATTGAAAAGGTTTGTCAAAGATTATAAAAACACAAATTGAATCTGTAAACTGAACTCCATTTACCCATTTATGGACAATGCAGTGGTCACGACCTTCAGCATATTCCTTTAATAGTGAGATTTGTTTGGTATTAAGAACAAAAAGGCATGACTTTAACCAAGAGAAATCTTCATACAGGGCTTGATTCGCCTTTCTGAACTGTTAATTTATGAAATTATATGCTTCATGTTTTTAGAATTACTACAATTAAACCCAGACACCCATGCCTCAGCCTAAAGAATAAAACAAGCAGTTTTTGATTGTTTGATTCATGTGGACACAAGGATTTCAAGGATTTATTACATTGTTGGACTGCCAGACCGCTTTGAAGGTAACTTCTCCACATAGTGTCCTTTGGGAGGGACAGAGTTAAAAGCTTCAAAGAACATTAGCAACTAAAATCTAACTAATCTGTTATTTGGGATGCTTTCAACCACACCTTGTGACCTTCCTTCCAAAGCTGCAAATATTCTGGGTCATTCTCTCTGAAGCTTCAGAGCCCTAAAAATGGTATTCGGTACAGTCCAACAAAACTCTGTTCTAGGGTTGGGTAAAATTATCCAACCAGCCACTGTCTGACTAACAACAAGAGAAATCATTTATTAACAATTAGATCACAGACTGTACCTTTTAACTTCCAGGTACTCATTGTTTTATGACACTACCTCTATAAACTGTCTGCTAGGTGATCTACTGTCTGCCTGTAGCTGCTGTTTCACGTAGCTCTGATGCTGACATCCTTTTATAAATATACTTTCAACAAAAAATCATTTTAAAGTCTTTTTCTAACCTCAGTTCAGAGTCCTGTCCTGTGACAGCAGAAAAGTACAGCTCCTGACAGTTAAGGTGTGTGATCTTCCTGTATGAATTTCATTATGACTTGACAGACAAAAGAGAAAGCAAATGAATGAACACAAGCTGCTGCTCTTGTCATTTGTAGCTGTGTGTTCATTCAGAAAGAGTTCTCGGATTCAGACCCACTGTGAATGGATATGTTTTGATTTGTTTTTTGAGATAATCACTTCAAGCTCAGGTAGGCGCAATACAGCCTTCTTTCTACTGCAAACAACGACTCTGCTAAATTAATGAGGCAGAGAGGATGTGCTGTGGGAATACTTTCGTGAATAAGAGAAGACACTGTAGACGGTAACCGGCCGTATTACAACGGCTGTATTTCATTACCCTTAACTTTTATCTGCAACTATAACATCCTCCAAAATTTCAAAATATAAGGTCTGAAGAAAGAAGCTGAACTCTTATTTCTGCCATTGTTATCAGCCTAAATACTCACAGGATTGCTCATACACACTCTCTCTTTTACTTGTTTTTTTTCATTATTGCCAGTTTCTCTCATTTGAATGTAGCTCTGATTAGCACATCTCCCTAAACAAGAGTGTAAATCCATTCAATTAGCAGCTAGGCAGCAGTTTCATTTTGATGCCCTTTTGGCTGCCTGCTCTCAGCTGCTTTGAATCATTAGACGGTAACTTGTGCTGTCTCTGGAGCGGACTGTGTGCAGTTTAGTGGCATCCACCGGTGAAGATGCAGATGGCAACCATTTGAATACAGCTCAGACCTTCCAAGTGTCGGATAACAGTTAACCCACAGCTCTAAAAGAGCATTCAGTGTGCGCTTGTGTTCTGCATCTGTATCTTAGATTGGAGGTAACCTTAGAAACAATACCAATGCTTTATTGTTGCGTCATTAAGTGACTCACTGGTGAACTTAACTGTGGGTTGAACTGACTACAGACACTGGACCCATGTTGTGTTCTGTGGTTTACTCTCCGACCATTATATTGTCTACAATATAAGATATGTGCAATGTCAGTGTAATATTCAACTTAGAGCGCAAAAAACTTAGGGTAGTGGAAAGGTAATAGCCTGGAATTAAATTATTGTTTGGGCATGGCCACTTTGGTCTTTGAGAATACAAATTTATTGGGGCGTCACAGCCTGTAGAGCACAAAGGCAAAAACTCGATCCACTGTGTGTTCTGACACCTTTCGATCAGAACCAGGATTAACTGTTTCAGAAAAGGTAGAGCTCTTGCTCATGGGCACTACTGTTTAACCTGAGGAATCAAGCTAGCATCCTTTCTCTGTGTCCTCAGGTTAATCGCTGAACCAGTAATAATCACATGAATGGAGGGCATATATATCTAAATCCTTAAGAGACCCATATTCTCTGAATAGATTTTACTATTCATTTTGCTGAACAGTCCTGTTAACTGCATCAATAGAGGTAATTATGTATGGCCGCCTGGGAATTAGAGAAACTAAATTGCAGATTTTTTCAGTTTAATTGTGTGCTGAGCAGAAACGTGGCCCCTCTCAGTGTGTGTACGTAAACTAACAACTCAGCTGTTGTCTGGTTTGAGGTGAGTGACTCTCTTAAAACAAAAAAAATACAAAATAAATGTCCTTCTGCTGCTTTCATGCAAAAATGACCATAAACATTTGAGAATTCACATAAATAAGACTTATGTGCCTCTATAAATGTTCATTATCACTTACTGTAGTCAGGTGACTCAACCACAGAATTGTAATAATAATTGTATTTTTATGTCTTTAGTATATTTAGTGTCACAATAACCTTGAAACCAACAGTTACAATGAGTCGATTGCACAGGACGCACTGTAACCCCTGAATACCAACTCCTGTGATTAATAGATGTTTAGATCAGTGGTTCCCCTTTCCTATTGTTGAGTAAACTGACTATATTTCACATCATATTCAATGTATAACAATAACAACTGATAAACATTTAACTCAAATAATGAGTTTGTGTAAAAAAAAAAGTGATTTTGATGAATTTTTGGAAGATCATTTCTTGTGAATGTTCATCAGAGAAGTTTTTTTCTGATATTTTTAGGAACTTCTTATCCAATCCTCTGTCTGAATTGTAATAATAAGCGAAGGATTATAAAAAACAAAAATCTGAACAATAACAATCAATAAAACATTTGACATCATGTTGACTGATAATGTTCCACAAAGGGAAAACCAGTGGGGCCCAGAGCACTTCCCTGTGGAACACCATAATCAATTAATCAATTAATCAAACGTCTGTGACTAAATTACCTCATATTTTGAGACTGTGACTGTAATTGTTAATGAATGACCATAAATAATGGATTGTGCAGCCTTGGTTGAAGTATGTGTCCTTTTAAAGGGACAGAGAAAGACATCGTTAGTGCTGCAGGCACGCAAACATTACTTTAAAATCTTTCACCACATCTGCAGATAAATTGTGGTTGTTTGACATCTGGCTCACTGAGGAGGATTAACTCAACCAATGAGGGGATTTTTCTTTTCCTCCAAAGCAGCTTTGCTATTTAAAGATGTTTGTATGATTTAAAAGATATTCTGCAGTTGTTAAACTCCTGAACGACCACAAAAACCTTTAATTCTAGTAAGGAAAACACCAGAATCACTGAAACAAGTCGGAAAATGAATAAATTTGTCTATATGTGGAAAGAAATTCCAGGCATTCACACGATGTGCAGGACAAATCAGGTTGTATCTATTAATTTATGACATGAATACTTTTGATTTATTGACCGTTTCATAGCGACCCATCAGAGGAAGCATCAAGTTATTTATGACTTCTGTCAGTTTAGACAGAAGAGATGAAACGAAATTTATGACAAGACGATTTAATCCCCCCCAACCGCATTTACATGATTTTTATTCCCTTTATTCTATTTTTGTTTGTTCTGTCTGAAAACTCCATCCAGGATGGAGTAATCTGTAGTTTTTAGTCTTTCTGTCTCCCTTGTGTGAATGATTTATGCAGCTTCTCGTGTATAAATGACAAATGATTTGATAAATGGGACCAAACACTCAGCCATTAATATCAAATTGACTGTCAAATGTTTAACAGCTTCTTTCCTCTGAGGGATACTCAATCTCCCACACACCCTCAGAGAAAAATGTGTTTGAAAATGACAGAAGTGGACCACAGAGTGATTTTAGTCTTCTGTCTCCAGCTGCTGCCATTCCTGCAGGCCAACCTGACGGGCTTCAAGAAACTGGAGATCCTGAACTTCAGGAAGGGCAGTGTGGTCGTCAACAGCAAGATGAAGTTTGCCAAGTCGGTGCCGTACAACATCACTGAGGCCGTCCACTGTGTCCTAGAGGAGTTCTGCTCCGCCGCCTCCAAGAACCTGCACATCCAGATCGACACCCACTCCCTGGATGTTGAACCAGGTACGGCTCCTTTTACTTGAACGCTGATCTGTCGCTCCAGGAAGGTGTTGGAAGAATTACTGCAAATTAAAGTACATAAATACAATACAAGTAAATAAGTGTTCAAAATCCAATCATTGAATGCTTTTATTAGTGCTATTATTATTATTATTATTATTATTATGAATTATCGAAAGTTCAAGTTGTCTTGTCACAACAATCACAGTGAAGCAGCCATGAAATTCTTGATCTCAGGTTCCCTCCAGCAGCACTCATACAATATTCCTTTCTATCAGAACCAGCATTAACTGTTTCAGCAGTTTGAGCTACAGTAGCTCATCTGTTGGATCGGACCACACGGGCCAGCCATCACTCCACTTTTGATAGACCTTGTCAAAGTCTCTCAGGTCCTCACGCTGCCCTTTTTTCCTGCTTCTAACACATCAACTCTGAGGACAAACCACCACTGACAGGAGCCCTGATACCCAGATAATCAGAGTTATTCACTGACAGTGCTCACTGTGTTAGGGCTGATCGGTGTACATGAGAATAGATGTAAGTGTTAACATCTAAGATGCATTTTGTATTTGTCGTGCATACAGTTGCATTGTTCCACATTAAACCACTGAATACCTTCCTAACTCACTTTACAGCGGCACACAGTGATGTGTATCTCACTGTATCTCTTTATGTAGGTGATAAAAAAAACTAACCACCAGCTTATAATAAGTCCCATTGTTGTATCAGCACTTCCTTCCTCTGTATGCAGCTCATGAGCTTTGCATTGTAATAGTCTCCACAGATGAGATGCAGGCAGAGAGCAGAGATCACAAACATTCAAAGTAATTAGGTCTATATGTCAAACCCACCAATACACAGAGGGGCTGTACAGAGCATTGCAGGGCTGGAATAATGGTAATAAAGATGAGAAGTGAGCAGCAGGGAGGAGAAGTGCTGCCGCTATGTTTTTTTGCCTCAGTGGCGGCTGATTGTGTTTTCAGCAGAATCTTGAATGAGGATCAAGTTTTTGCTGAAACAATTGTGTCGTACACGGCGGTTCACTGGTCATGATTAAATACACTCAGTACTATAATGTGCACCCTGACACCTCCAGAGATTTCTTACTCATAAATGTACTAATCAAGTATTTTAATTTAGTTTTCTAGGACACCTTAAAATCATAAAGGCCTTGCGACTCCTTATGAAGCTTTGACAACTCCTAGTGGGGGTCCTGATCCCCAGATTGGAAACCACTAATTAGACCGTCGATTCGAGTCAGGAAAATCTCCCCTAAAAACCTTAAAATGGAATAAAATGGAGGAGGGATCCTTCTTTCAGGACAATCAGGAAATAGATGTCGTGTACAGGATCAGGATGAGGTAATACCAGAAAGTAAAAATACTAGTGCTGTCAGTTAAACGCATTATTAACGGTGTTAACGCAAACCCATTTTAACGGCGTCAATTTTTTTATGGCGAGATTAACGTTCTTTTTGGCCTAGCACACTTTGTAGTTTTTTTCACATGCTGTTGCAACAACTAGTAACGTTAGAAAAACTACAACACCACAGTGGATCTAGCTAGACCGGAAACAAAACAACAGGCACGTTTAGGTGTTTAAGAGTAGTAGACGTTACGTTTTGAGTGGATGGCGAGCGCGAGACGCCAAAATGGATGCCAATAATATTCTGAATGGAAAGTCTACTTTTAAAAAGTTGCCAAATGGTTCCATTGACAAGACCAAAGTGATCTGTGTGTTTTGTCATTGTGAACTGAGCTATCATCGCAGCACGTCCAGTCTGAAATACCACTTGATGGCCAAACACACAGCTGATGAGAATTCTCCAACCCCTCGTCAAAGCCTGACGACAATGGATGACTTCAGACAGAAGCACATGGATACCAGAATAGATAAAAATGTGTGATTAATTGCGATTAATTGCGACTTTGACATTAATGTGATTAATCGCGATTAAATATTTTAATAGTTTGACAGCACTAAAAAATACTCCATTAAACGTATCCATCATTCAAGTATTCACAGAAACTTCACTTATGCACAATCTCTAGAACAGAAGCTCTCGCCATCCAATCACCAAAAATATGTAGAAATCTCCAAATTTCAAAAGCTTTTGATACCAAATCACAGCATGAATGTTTTTACGGTCATAATGTTCTTAATGGATTCCAATTCCTCCAAAGTATCTGCAGCAACCCAAAAACTGCTGCCACAACTTGTGAGACATAACAGAGAATGGGAATGACACGAGGACCGATACTTTGGTACCAAGTTGAAGCAGTTGAACAGAGTTCTTAAAACTTGCCGGTGCTCGTTTTTCTACAGATTCTTCTGCACCTGAACAGTGGCAACACATACGCCTACCGTATTTTCCGCACTATAGGGCGCACTGGATTATAAGGCGCACTGTCAATGAATGGTCTATTGTCGAACTTTTTTCATATATAAAGCGCACCGGACTATAGGGCGCATTAAGCCAAACAAAACAGTCAGATAAGTCAGTCAAACTTTATTAAACACGTTCACAATAACTCCCAGACTTGTTCAGTTGTAACACGTAAAAAAAAGACAATCTGATATCGCCAAATCAAACGTTTGCGTATTCACAATAACTCCCAACCTTGTTCATTTGTAACACGTAAAAAAAAGACAATCTGATACTGCTAAATCAAACGTTAGCGTATTCACAATAACTCTCAAAATTGTTCAGTTATAACACGTAAAATACAACACAATACACTCTCTTTTTCAGTTCATTCCTCGTCCACAAATCCCTCAAATTCTTCATCTTCAGTGTCCGAGTTTAACAGTTGGGCGATTACGGCATCCAGCATGCCCGGATCCCTCTCGTCATTATCCGAGTCAGTGTCAGTGTCACTGCTGTTACCTGGCAGTTCAGTGATGATTCCGGCCTTCGTGAAAGCTCGGACCACAGTTGAGACTGATACCTTAGCCCAGGCATCCACGATCCATTGGCAGATAGTGGCGTAAGTCGCCCGGCGCTGTCTCCCTGTCTTGGTGAATGTGTGTTCGCCTTCTGTCATCCACTGCTCCCATGAAGCTCGCAGTTTAGCTTTCAAGCGGCTGGAGTTCTTTAGTTAATCCACCCGGAATGACGGCAAGCTCCGAATTAGTTTGCTCACTTGGTTTTTGACAGCATCGGTGAGATGGGCGCGCATGGAGTCGTAGATCAATAGGGACGGATATTTGTGGAAAAAGCCATCCGGTCTCTTGACGTAAATTTCTCTCAGCCATTCACTCATCTTTTCCTCGTCCATCCAGCCCTTTGGGTTAGCTTTGATGATGACGCCGGCTGGAAACTTTTCTTTTGGCAAAGTCTTCCTCTTGAAAATGACCATGGGTGGAAGTTTCTGGCCGTTAGCCTGGCAACCGAGAACTACAGTGAGGGATGACTTCTCGTTCCCTGTGGTGCGTATAGACACTGTTCTGGTCCCTGTTGTCTCCACAGTGCGGTTCACGGGGATATCAAAGGTGAGAGGAACCTCGTCCATGTTGGTGATGTGCTCTGGCTGGATCTTCTTTTCAGTGATCTTGTTTTTGCAGTATGCGCGGAAAGTGGCGCGCTTTTCTTCGTAATCTTTTGGCAGTTGCTGCGAGACGGTAGTTCGTGTGCGGATGGAGAGATTATGTCTTTTCATAAAACGAAAGCACCAAGAAGGCCCGCCACGAAAGACATTGATATTCATGTCCCGTGCTAACGTTGTTGCCTTCAGTCGAATAGAGACTGTAGAGACGCTTCTACCGGCTGCTCTCTGTTCAATAACCCACTGTTCAATTTTGTCCTCTAACTGTGGCCATCTCGCTTTGTTCCCTCGGAAACTCTGTGTGGTCTTCTTTACTTGACGCAGGTCATCTTCTTGCTTCCTCCACTTCCGTACCATTGATTCATTAATGTTGAATTCTCTCGCAGCTGCTCTATTCCCATGTTCTACTGCGTGACTGATAGCCTTGAGTTTGAGGTCCGCGTCGTAAGCGTGTCTCTTGACAGGTGCCATTTTGGGGTCTTTAAACACACACACTGTAATATTATGGTGAAGCACGTGTATTACTCCGCGACGCTCCTGACTACGGTTGCCATAACAACCAGAATTAATCCATATATAAGGCGCTCCGCATTATAAGGCGCACTGTCGTTTTTTTGAGAAAATTAAAGGCTTTTAAGTGCGCCTTATAGTGCGGAAAATACGGTACACGTATTCTAGTCTTGGCAAAAAATTATATGGAGATGAATAAAAAAGAAAAGTCTTAGAGGAAAATAGAGAATTTAATCGTGCATGGACAGATTTGTTTCCAACACTGCTGGAGGTGTGATTTAACTCACTGTCGACCTCTGCTCTAAGCCCTTATACACTATAAACTTTAGATATTTGAATATCTGCCCAAACAAAACATTATTACAGATTTATGACTAGAAAGAATTTGCATCTCAAATGAATCTTCACTCCTATGTGCTGAATACGGTTGCTGGATCTGTTGTGGGGAGGGTGGAGTGGTAGAGGTTAAAGGATTGATACAGTACGCACAGACTTTTATTCTCAACTACCTTAAATACTGAGGTTGAACGTGTTGAACATGTTTGACCTTTAAAACAGCACCTGACAGAATGATCTCTGGTTCCTTCAGTTTTCTGGATATTTACTGTGAGACGTGTACTGATCAGCTGCCCTATTGGTCCGACTCTCTCTCCCTCTCTCTCTCTCTCTCTCTCTCCCTCCCTCTGTGCATCCATGTTGACCTCAGCATGTGTGTATATATATATGTATGATTTACAGTTACACAGATGGATACTGACCACACATCGTACACTTCATTTCTGAAACCCTCCAAACATGCTAATTTCCCCGGAGTGTATCTGACGTTTAGTCTCGGAAGCCGTCCACGCCAGAGGCTAAATCTTACATTTCAATGCCGACCAGAAGCTGAGGATCTCATTAAAATCAAACACTCCTCAGCACCTCCTGGAGAGAGGAGGGTGGTTGGAGGAAGACGCACACACACACACACACACACACACACACACACACACACACACACACACACACACATGCTGTATGAATACTAATGATGGTTTCCTTCCTCTCCTCCTTGCAGCCGATCAGGCCGACGCCTGCAAGTTCCTGGCCTGCGACGAGTTTTCCCGCTGCATGGTGAACGGCCGGACAAAGGAGGCTCAGTGTCTGTGTGAGCCAGGCTTCCTGTCGGTGGACGGCCTGCCCTGTCAGAGTCTGTGCGTCCTTCAGCCGGACTACTGCCAAGGAGGGGAGTGTCATATAGTTCCCGGACACGGAGCCCTGTGCAGGTAAATTAATACCCACTGTAACCTGTCGACCTGCAACAAGCGCTAACTAAAATTAAAAAACAGATTTTTGACACTGCAATTGGAGAAAAGGTTTTTCTTATCAAAATCTACATTAAAGCTGCATCAAACAATATTTTCATATTGACAAATGACTCTATTTTAGCTCATTGTTTTGGGTTAAATTTACTGTTTTGGTTCAGACTCTCATTAACCTAATATTGGACATATATCAGTCAGGTGAACACAAACATGCCTTCATATCCAAGCAGCAACCTCTGTAACACAGTTGCAGTTCCTCTAAAGGCCACTTGAGGCTGGCTCCAGCAGCGATCTCTATAAGGCCCCATATTTAAATTTTTATTTTACTCCACATGAAGGCTAATGATGCCTTGTAGTTGCTGGATGCGTAAATACCCAATTGTTTGTGTTCTCAATCACAACTTTACACCTTTATACGCCTGGAATTTTATCAAAATTACCAAAAATCCTGGAAATAATCTGTGTTGTCCTAGAAATGTTTAATTGTATTATAGCTCCTCATTCACATCGTCAGATTTTCTGTAAAACAAGATAAATTCTGCTTTTTGTTTTGGGCTGTGGCTGTCATGTTACAGCGAGAGTAAAACAGAAGTCAATGTGCCATGACAATGCAGCGAATGTGGAGCGTCCCACATAAAACAATGACCATAATAAACCTGAGACACCTCATCATGAACCTGCATCGTTAAAAAAGGAGTCAATACGAGTTCTACCTGTAAATAAAGACCATCTGTGAGCAAGTGCTGTTATTAAAAAACAGAAAACGAGCTTGAAAAAATGCTTGATATTAAGTATACTTGTAGTCTTAGATGTGTAGAAGTCAAATATATCATCCATAGCCAGGAATTATTGAGCAAAGTGTTTTTACAGTAGCTCAAATATAAGAAAATATGGAATCTGGAGGTATAAATATGGGACTTTTATTCTTCATTTCTCCAGATTGGTACAGTAAAAATGCTTGATATTAAGTATACTTGTAGTCTTAGATGTGTGAGTCAAATATACCATCGTAGCCAGGAATTATTGAGGAAAGTGTTTTTACAGTACCTCAAATATGGTCAATTGATCTCTGGAGGCATAATATGAGACTTTTATTTTGGCATTTCTCCACACTGGTGCGTAAGATACTTGATATAAAGTGTTTTTTATTCATCGGGCGCATGAAACACTTTAATGTAACATATTTTAATTATAGCTTACGGCTCTAAATACCTTTATTTTGAAAACCGGAAGTTATACGCTGTTTCTCCGCATTTACCATAATGCTGGATATTGTACCTCTAAATTTGAGTGCGGCTGATTTGACCACTGAGATCGGACTCACGGCTGATTCCGTCTACTGTACTGTTTCTTCTCCCGCACCGTCCTGTAAATGACAACATCCGGTCTCAGAATATAAAAAACAGGCCTTTTTCTGTTTCTGTTTTCTAGTGATTTTAATTTTTGTTATATGAAATAGAAAATGAAAATCAATCTTTTTTAAATTTCGCTCATCCCTTATTGACCTGAAACGCCTTGTACTTCATTTATTTTGTATTTTAAAACAAAATCAAATAAGCACTTTTCGTTCTTTAATACCTGTTTCTGAAGGAAAATCCAATGACCAAAACATCGACCGATAAACAGCTGAGAAATTAAAAATTCTATTTTTTTTGTTAAGTTAAAAGTTTGAAATACCGGCAATTAGTCTAAAAATATCAGTCCATTCATCAAAAACTCATATTCCTCAGAAGCTTAATTAGTAGAGCTTCATTAACCAAGTGTCAGTTCACATGCACAGTTTTTCTGTCCTCCGGAGATTTTATTCAATTATGAAACTTTAACTGAATTAAAAGTTGGTGCCTGGACTGTTTAATAAACTGCCTCATGGGGAGCCACAGCACTTCTGAAACTGTGACTGATAGTAATACTCCCGACTGTCAGTGGCTGTGGATTCGAACCCACGCTGCTGCAACAACTCTGTACATGGGTCGCCAGCTCTACAGACTGAGCTAACCGGGCGTCTTCAAGTCTCACTTTTAAGAAAAGTAATAAAACAGCTGGAGGAGGAAAGGGTGCATTTAGTAGGGACTATTTTCAGCTGCGGATGAATCCACATTAGGTGCTGTAGGTCGGTGGATAAATGAACTACAGTGTGTGTTTATAGTGATGAAGGAACATTGTGGCTCATTGGTGTATAATAGTTTTGGACAGTGTGGCTCTATGGTCGGCAGCGCTGGTTGTTCATTCGGTTCATTAGATCATAAAGCTTTGGTACGCAGACAGTGTATCCTGCTGACTTTGGTGATCATCAGTTTATCTCTAGCGCCACCATGAGGTTGACATTTGTGGTTCTGGGTCTGATCTCTCAGCAGCTATTGGATGGACTGCTGTTGATTCACATATTCGTGTTCTCTCAGGATAAATTCTGGACTGTACTTTGTGTTTAGTGCTAATAACATATGTTAGCATGCTAACATGCTAAACTACAATGGTGAACATCAAACCTTTGACTAAACGTTAGTATTTACCCGCCAAAAATAGGTTTAACTCATTGGTGTTCCTCTCCACGGAAGTCTTTAGTAAAAGGCGAAAGACTTGTGCGTTATGAAGAGAAACCCGAGAAAGTACGGCCATGTGCTCAAGAGCTGCCGAGGTCTGCTGTCGTCCCAGCCACCACCCTCGTGGTTGGCCTCCCCTCTGGCTCGTTGCCGAGCAAGATCCCAGGCCACGGCCATTCCCCCGGTCCCGCCCACACCCCCCCTTTCCAGCCGTTTTAAGGATAACTGTTGATTGCCACCAGCTGCAACGGCTGACATACATACAGTGCTTTTAGACTGGGAGCCCGCTGAGTTGCCACAAGGGACACCAGTCAGCCCACAGAGCGTTCTCCCACCACTGCCGGACGAAAAGACTGCCACCGACCTCGACCCTCGTCCGTGGGTCCAGCCTCGGTTGGGGAGACGAGCTTCTCGCTTTGCAATCGGGCGTTTGGTTTTCCACAAGGCAGGAGGAGGGTGCACCGTTCCCGGCGGCACTGCAGTACCGGGTCGATGCGTGGTGGTCAATGCCCATTATTCCTGTCCTTTTTTTGGTGGTGGTTCACACTGTATTTAAAGCCATCCACCTGAGCTCAGATCAGCCAGGATGCAGGTTACCAGCAGCTGTACACGGACTCTTGAGTACAGGATCTAGTAGTATTTAATATTAGGTTTGTGTTGCTCTGGAATATCTTCTGTCTTCTATTTGTCTTCCACACTCACATACAGACTAATCTCTCTCTCACATCTCCGGCCCTCGCCGCTGTAAATCAAAGTTGATTTCTAACAGATAGAAAGCGTTTCTCTTATTAACTAGCGGCTCACACCCACTGCCTCTCGACTGCCAGAAAAATCTAATTTCAACCCTGTTAGACTTCAGCAGCTCGGCTCCTGACACAGAGCACCGCAGAGATTTTTCTATTGAAACATTCATTTCCCATCATCTGGACCATTCGCAGGGATATTTTTAGGTGACATTCTTATTATCTTTATGAGGCTGAGGCACTTCAGACAGTACAAGTTTAATTTTATGAATTTCCATTCAGCCCCTGGTCGGTAATGAGATGTTACTGAAACTACAGAGAACTACAATCTGAACGCAGCTCCACAGTACTGTGTTTGTCCTGAGGGTGGCGCTACAGTGAAGATCAGGAAGAAATCATGAATTGGATTCATCCTCTGAGGACTATAAATATTCACCAGCTCTCCCAGATTACTTTTCCTTAACTGATTTTGTGGTAATGTTAGAGTGTGGCACTATAGGGAAGGCACTATTCGGGCCCTGCTCTGGTTCTGTGGCTCATTCGGGCCCGGCTCCCCGGCAGTATTCCCCACTGGGTCCCTCTGCTGCTACACTAGCAGTGTTTAAACTCTCCCTGTCCTTCCAGTTTGCAGTCTGGATACAGAAAATATACTTAAGATACTCAAAAATATGTTTATGTCCCCTAAAATATCGAACCTTGACTTGCAGTATTGGAAATAATGAAACTGCTCTTGGAGGTGACGAGTTATGAACAAATTACATTTTCAGATTAGACCCACTGTGGGGTACGAGCTAACAAACATTCTGATACTGAGAGTCTGAGTCGGACTGAGGCTCAGAGAATATGAGTGAATCTCTCCAGTGTTTCCTCAGCAGCCATCTTGATGCTCTTTCATTCATAGATCCTGAATTTCTCAGTGAGGGAGAAAGATTAGACGTGCTTCCAGCCACTTTTCACATTTTGCTTTTTACTTTTTACGTGGGCAAAAACTGAATATTAATCATTATATACTTTAAATCATCTCTGGAGGGGAAATTTAACATTTTCTTTTTAAATCTGACCAGAAATTAGTGCGATATTTATCTGTGGACACTGTCAGGAGTGAATGAAAACACTTAAATAATCTTAATATCTGACATTTTAGCAGCATAACGTGATTTATTAAATTTATCCCAGAAGATTTATTGAAAATGACAAACTGAGCCCAGAAAGACAATAAATAAGGTTTTTTAAAGAACATTTAATTAAACTGAGTGTAGTCTCCTGCTCGTGGCTGCAAATGAAGAGTGAGTGAACTCTTTGGACGATGAGGGTGGAAATCACCTGAAGCAACGTCAGACATTTAATTTACTGACATTTAGTCGATACGCTGAATGTGCGGTACCGGTTCCATGTGAATATCTGATCAGTTGGAAGTCGGTCTGCTCTCTGATGTTTAAGGCAGCAGCAGCTTTCCCGTCTCGTCTGGGGGATTGAAGGCAGTCTGTGGGGTTGCAGTCGGCTTGGATTTGCCAGCAGTCATCAACACTGAACCCTGTTTCTAATCCTGAGTCCAGACCGGCCAAGAACAGGACAGAGAGGCAGAAAACACCGAGCAGAACCCAGAAGGTTAATACTGCCGAGCTGCACGTTCCTTTTAATCTTACTTGGCTGCTTGACAACACATAGAGCCGATGGAAGAGGCAACAAAGTAATTTTGCTGTGAGATAAAGGCTTGTTAATTAAAAGATTCCCTGAAAACACACTGAGGGAAAACCTCTTTGAGTCCAAAACACAGTTTATTTAGCTTTTGTCCTGCACCTTTTTCTCCGTGTTCCCCTGGTACTCCGGGTCACGTTTTTGTCCTGCAGCCACTCACTGGCTTACCTACCAGGAGTTGTTGTGGTTGGACTGACGCCTAGGTTGGTGTTTGTGAAACAAACAGATTCCTAAGTTGTCTGTCGTGTGTGTTTTAAACATTTAGTTCTGGGTATTTTAAAGGCAGTTTACTGGCTGACTGAATGTTTTTGTGTGACCAACAGGTTTTATAAGGTGCTAATCCTCGTTCTGTTTGCTGCTGATGTGTTTCTGTATTACAGATCGTAGAGTTACGAGTTTGTGAAGTGGTCTTATATTAATGAAAACTTTGTATGATTAAAGTTGTATGCAAAAGTTTTGGCAACCCTGACAAATAACTATTAAAACTAAAATATTATGGTGATATTTTAAATGAAAAAGATGCCTCTTTAGGGTATGGATCAGAAAACACTATTTTCAGCAAGCATTAATACATTTATGTCATATATTGAACAAAAATAAAATCATTGTGGCGTGTGCAAAAGTTTAGTGTAGCGATGTGTCTCTGTGTGATCAGCCCCTCACAGTTCTGCTATCTGAAAGACCAAGAAAACTGAGAACTGCTCGTGTGCTTGTCAGAAAGACAAATGAAAACCTGAATGCAACAAACCTGCAGGAAGATTTATCAGACTCAGGAGTTCCACTGTGCAGTGAGAGCTTCATGGAAGAGTCAGCAGAAGAAAACATTGTCCTCATAAAACCCAACATCAGAAGTCTGCAACAGAACATCTACAGACGCAGCAAGAGCTGATCTAATCTAATAAATAAAGTATCTGTCTATCTACAATCAACAAAGGGATGTTTGAAAAAAATGAGCAGTATTTAATGAAAAGAACTCTTCACCAACTGTTAAACATGGGCTGGATCTATAATGCTCTGGGGTTGTGTTACAGCCTGTGGCACAGGAAACATTGCACAGGTGGAGGGAAGAACGTATTCCACTAAATACAGCACATCTGTAAAACAGCTGAAACTGAAACAACCCTCACAGTTCGCTGAAACTGGATTTAAGGTTTAAGGAGGATTATTTGAGCTACAGTTAAGATTCTGGTTCCACTTTAAATCCAAAGCTGTCCTGTTTGATCCCACACAGCCCAGAATGTATTATACATATATAAATAATGAAATCAGTGCTTCCTGTCAGACTCCTCTGAGATAACTCGTCAGTCATACTGTGAACTACGATGTGATGTCTTCCCCTCTGCAGCAGTTGATCTTCGACAGAAACCGTAAATGTTTGGTCTGAGTGATGGACAGCAGAGAACTGTTGTCCAGGTAGTGGAGGGGTGTAATCTCCAGGGTTATTAGATTGTTGTTGTTTGGTTTGTCCCTTCTGGACACTAATGAAACCTACGATACGCTGGACCTTTCAGTGTGGTTGGTGCTAGTGATGCTGAAACAACAGGGTTAAACCTTAAAACCTGGACATTGAGAGACTAGTGTAACACCTGGAAACTAGTTAAAATCCCCAAATATCCTGGATATAATCTATATTGCCCTGGAAATGTTTTACTGAACCTTTAGATGTATATTTAGTTTGTTGGTACCTGTGCTGTTGGTACGATGATGACTGTGAACCCTGGATATTAAACACATTGTTCGTTGTGCTGCAGAGGAACAGTTTAGCTCACAGTCTGAGTTGGTTAACATCCTGTCATCTGTTATCATCTTGTTACAAAACAACATCCCCAGAAATGTAATAAAAGTGTTAAATGTGTCTGAAGCTTCGCCCTCGAAGGAGCTGAACATCTTTTACCGAGGCAGAAGAGACTGTTTCATTATTTAAGGATGAATCTGAACAAATCTGTTTCCAGCAAGAAATAATAGGAATAGAAGAACTTCAGAAACAGAGCTGATCAGTGTCTTTGAGGGATGTATGCTGGAGGAACCTGCTGGGACGATCTTCCTCAGCTCTTCTGTATTTGGACACATTTGCAGGATGTGATCTCCTCTCTGAGTTGCTGCAGCTGCACTTTCATTCTCACCTGCTTCATTTTTCTCCTCCTGCAGATACAAAGACAGCTTCTCCCTCCCGGCCCTCGCCAGTTAGGAACACACATCGGATTGGACGCCACCTGAGAATACCACCAAAGGTAAAAGCGAGGGGAGGGGTTGGTTTGCCAGGAGCGAGGTTGTTCTGGTTAAATCTCACATGTGATCGTGTGTTACTGCTGCAGAGCCTCAGTGTGAGAATACGAGCTGAACCCGGTGGAGGACTGATTGATTTTAGGTTTAATCCTGAACATGCGCGCCGTTATCCTCCTGTGATCACACAGATCCTTCCTGCCAGGCTGATTGGCTGAGAGCTGCTGTATGTTTAATGAGTAGTTAAACCTCCAGAAGGACGGACTGTAAGAGCACCAGGACATCCCCTGGAGGCTCCTGGTGGTGGTGGTGGGGGGGGCTCTGTGATCCTCGTTTAAGGTCGAGCTGAGCCACGAGGGAGGTTCAGGAGCGTCTCACGAACACAAACAACACAGCGATGCTCTGTGGGAGCAGCTCGTCCACCTGAAACAAACTAAAGAACGGGGTCTTTAACCCTGAACCGCTCTGAGAACAACCCTGATACCTTTACTGTGTTTAGTAATAATCGTAGCAGAACGTTAGCTCTCTGATTGGAGGGAACTAGAAATATCCCCCGTTAACAAGTTGTATCTTTGGTTTGTCCCATTTACTGGAGCAGTGAACGTTTCCATTGCATTATGGGATGGTAACGATTGTTATTAGGAAGGACCTCAGGTGTAACCGGGGAAACAGAGTTTGCTGACATATTTGATATTTCTGAAATGGTTTGGAGCTTGTTAAGTTAAAAAGGCAGAAATGTTTCTGTTGCAGCTGAAGAGAAAGAAGCTTACTTACTCTTTATTTTACAGCTTCCTGGAAGGTAACCTGTAATTTGGCAGTAATTATAGGAAATTGGTTCCCTTCTGATGAATTAATCCCAATGAACTGCTGGCGTTAAACGCTGGTGTAACAGCAGATCATTTAGTCGGTGCACAGCAGGTCTTCAGACCGGGATTTTAAACGAGATGCTGCTTGTAAAAATATGAACCCGTCTGTGTGTGAGAGAGAGTTCACAGATTAGATTTGCTGAGGAAAAGAGGAGCAGCATCGGATTATTGATTAGTGACTGTAGTAAAACAAAAACATAATAAATAAATGAATATCGTCACATTACAAAAAAACAACTGAATTCTGCATCTCAAACCTGTGAATGAACTCTGTGTCTGATAATAACTAATAGAACTAATTCATGTTTTAGAAGTTCTTTTTAGGAAATAACAGACCTGTAAAACAAAGTTTACACATATCCAGAAAGTTGTCAGGCGCCTGGATAGCTCAGTGGGTAGAGCTGGCGACCCACGTGCCGAGGCTGAGTCCTTGCTGCAGCGGCCCAGGGTTCAAATCTGACCTGCAGCCCTTTGCTGCGTGTCATCCTCCCTCCCTCCCTGTCTGTCTTCAGCTGTCACTATAATAAAGGCAATAAACCCCCCCCCCAAAACATCATATGAACTCACTTTCCATTGGATTTTCTTCTCACTGTTCTGTCAATTTACTTTTATTCACAGAAATGAACCAAACAGAGATTTAGATTATTAGAGAAGTTTTCTAATACACATAGAAATCAAGAAGGCCACGCTGTGTGTGCCCCTTCAAACTCTGTAATTAATCTGTGATATTGGATAATAATAACCTGACTTTGCCATGTAAAACTGGTGGCGTCCTCCTTTAATATGTGGCTGTTCCTGTTGCAGACTCGATGAAACTGGACTCAGCAGCAGGAACTCATCAGTGCTGAGCTGAAGAGACAAACTGGTACAAACTCTTCAGAGCGGTGAGCTTCTTATGGAAGGACAGTCCGCCTTCAGGGGAAACAGACGTTCACTTTGAAATCTGTCGGTCAGCCGCTGACGAACAGGAGCCGAGCGGACGACTCTGCAGATCGATCGGGCCGATGCTGACCGACCGGGACTGTTTTTGTACTCTGCTGACTGTTTGTGTAGTGAATAGGTTGAAAATACACCTCGTGGACATACGGACACAGAAAGGAACCTCTCAACACCGAAGACCCTCCTCTCCCAGCATTTAGCCCTCATATAAACCGGGTTTCAGGATCACTCTGGATAAGCTGCAGTACATCAGGCTGATTCACTGCGCCTTAGATCAGCCGTTCCCAACCTTATCTTTCTTGTGACTCCTTAAAATCCAGCGGTCTACTTGAGGCCGCTGACGCTCTCCAGGTTAATGTTTAGCTGTTTGATCTGAAGTATTTTTAGGTCCCAACTTGACAGAATCAGTATTTCTGAAGAAAACTTTTCTGACTTTTTCTTATTATATTTAATCACTCCTCATGTTTATAAAAGGGGCTCCCAGACCTCAGGTTGGGAACCGGTGATCTAAAGCATACGATGAGTTTCCGTCCTACAACATCAGGATCCTAGGGACTACACTGAACTGTTAACAAGACTAAGACCAGAGATATAAATGCTTTTAACTCCCTGATTGCGTTAAAAAGTGAGAGTATCTCCTGCTCAAGAGTGGGTTAAATGCTAATGTCAGCATGCTAACTATCTCAGTGTTTATCATGTGAATGTTTGCTAATTAGCACAAATTACAGCTGAGGTACTGATGATCACAAGTTAGCAGGTTCACATTTAGGACATTAACATGCTGTAGATTCTTCTGAGGCTTTCCTAAACATTTTACTGATGTTAACATTTTGGTTCTGTGTCAGCTTCGTTCTGTAGCTTATTCATTACAATTCTCTGCCCCAAAATATACACTACTCACAAAAAGTTAGGGATATTCGGCCTTCGGATGAAATTTCAGAATGTACATAAAATACACTATAACCTTTCCAGGTGATCTTAATTTGAACTTTCATGATATAATATCACTGTAGCATCAACTTTTTACATTTTCATTAAATTTCACCCGAAAGTGGAATATCCCTAACTTTTTGTGAGTAGTGTATTTAAAAGACTGAAAAATGCAACTTTATACAAGTGCAGACTTTGCCCACAGAATTACCCACAGTTCATAGCGTTGTGATGTCAAATACGGGCAAATCAGCTTCAGGTCAGGCGGTAAGTGCCTTGGGGCTGTGAAGCAAGCAAAAATTAAAACGTTTTGGTGTCAGCGAGGTAATACGATATGTTGTCCGTGAGGGTTGGGGGCTTTCGGAGGGACGGTGGGATCGGGTCTGTGAACTTCTGTACCGAATTACTTTCACCTGTTGTTCAAGTTTAACTGAATTCTGCTCACAAGTAGCTTTTTCTTCTTCTGTTTCTCCTTTCAGATACAAACAGGACGTTTAGTGAGTCGTTAGATTCTCTCCTGTACAGTTCATGTAAATAGTTTTTGAGTCAACAGATGTTTGTCGCTGCTGTTGGGGAAAAACAACCAAACTGTAATTTGGATTTTTTTCTCATTTAAAGTGTAAATTGATGAATTTTGTGAATAGTTGAAAATACAAACAGTGGAATAAGAGTTGTTCATTTCTTCAGATGATGAAGTGAAAGAAGGAGCCGAGAGGTGAGTGAAACATGGAATGCTTTTATTCTTCTGTTAGAGATCAGCGTTAGAAAAATGACAAAGGCAGTGCTTCCCGAGGAATGATTGTGAGAGAAACAGATCGCAGCCAAGGCGGGACAAACTTCTTGTACATTGGAGGAAATAATTCAAGGTGTTAACAACCGACGCTGAGGGTCGTAATCGTGGGCAAAGCTCAGGATGTGGCTCCTTTTATACTCTGTATTAACACGCTTCTAAACAGGCGGGAAAACTCACCTGCTTCTACCTGAAGACAAGTTGTTTACAGCCGGCAAGTATCAGACTTTATTTCTGCTTTACAGCCGGATTTAAAATAAAATGCAGCTTAAATCTTTGAACATTTAAAGGACCAGTGAGTTGGATTTAGTGTAGAAACATGGCGGACTCTGCCAGAAGAAGACACGCTACTACAGTAGCCCAGAACTGACAAACCAAACACTGGATCGAGACAGCAACCACTGTGAGTTTCACGGCCACCGTCTGTAGTTTGTCCTACACTGGTCCTTTAAGACCTAAAATTCTGATTATTGGATTTTAGACTCTTCTTGCTGTGAGACCTTCAGAGTGTCTCTGGTTGGTTGGTTGGTTCCGAGCCTGTTTTGCTGCGTGTTAATGCCGTCTGTAAAAGGGGGATCAGCTACTTTGCAACAAGACAGATGCTTTCAGATCTACGTCACCTTTTTGCTGTGAAGAGAAAAAACAAACAACCTTGGCAACAGGTGAGCAGAGTAAAGGTGTAACGTCGCAGCAGATTGTCTGTATATCTGTAACGTACCCGTCAGAAGAGGCCTGTGTTTTTCTTTCTTTTAGCTTTTGATTTATTGCTTCTCTTGACAACCTCACATGCCCGAGCCGCTGAAGTATAAAGTCTCAAAAATAAACTTTTACATTCCAGTTGGATCATCGCTGTTGGATGCATATACTGTACTTAATGTGTAGAAAATGTTCAGTGTCGTATGAATGTTCCAGTTCGAGTACCAGTGCACAGACAGATCTGATTTATTTTTGATAACGCCGATGAAAAACTACCTTGGGAATCACTGTGTTGGCAAATTATGTTTCCTCATGTAAAAAGATCGGATGCAGATGGTGCGAACGAGCGCTGATCTGCTCTCAAACAGCACAGGAGGAGTTGCATCTCAGCTTTTGCATAATTATTTCACATTTTCTGCTTTTAGCTTGATAAATCACGGCGCCGAATCGCCGCTCCGGCTTCCCGCCCGGAGCGCCATTTGGTCTCATTTCGGACTCATTACACATTAATCACACAGGATGAGAGGAAGAAAGAGGGAAATCACTACTCAAACAAATCAACGAGGTCTCAGGTTACATTCGGTCAGAAAGATGAAAGGTAAAATAAAAAGAAAAAAGTATTAGCAAATATTTGACTTAATTAACGAGGAACGTGCAGCTCCGCCTCACCGTGAACTCCTTGTGCAAGTGTTTCGCCTGTAAGAACCACGTGAAGACGATGTAAACAGCAGGTTTAAAGTGGGAGAGGGATCACCAGCTAGCTGTTAAGATGGAAGCGACACACCGGTGAGACTTAATCAGGAATGCATAATTACAACGGGAATTTCTTGTTTGGGGAGGCAGCTTTGAAAGGAAAGAAACTTGTGGCGATTAAACCCTGTTAAAGTCGTATTAAGGCCTCGTAGTTAGACAACAACCGGATGTGATAATTTAGTATGATTCTTCTGCATAGGGTTCACTGCAAAACTTCCCGCAACGAAAACAAGAAAAACAAAAGGACAGAAAAGTCGCTGTTCGCCGTCAGTCAGAACCCGGTGTGGTGCGCTCACACGCCATCCGTCAGGTAGCTGGTGCGTTTGTCCCTTTGTTTGCAGCGAGGAGCCCCGCCCAACCCCCCCCCCCCGGGCTCCGTCACTTGAACATGCTCTGCAGCATGGCCGTGGCGTAAGTGGGTCGCGCCTGCCGGCTCTCGATGGCGCTGCGGAGGTACTGGACCCCGCCGCAGCGCTCCCAGATCTCCTCGAACTGCCGTGGGAGGATCTCGGCGCCCCTTTTCCTCGACAGGCCCGTCTCCTCCAGACTCAGCTCGCACATCTCCATATCGTCCTTCCCTGAGAGACGAAAACAGGTTTATTATTGATTGATGTGCCGATATTTCCCTTACGGACTGAAAAACCTCCCCAGAGCCGCAAAAACATTTATTTACTAGCCCTATTGTGAGGAATACAACAGGAAAATGACAATATTACAAAAATAAAAACTGTTTTATTGTCTTAATATGCAAAGTCAGAATTTAGCATGTCAGTAATATAGTACACTCATGCTAAAATGCAAAAGTTAACAAATTAAGTAGCTTAAAATTAAATATTAAAATATTTTACTGATGTTAACATGCTAAACTTTACTTATTCAAACTCTTAATGTAGCAAAGAAATATAATTTACTCACATTTAGGACATTAACTTATATGTTAATGTACAGTATGTTGAAATATTTCACCTCTTTCAGACAACCAGTATAATAGGAAGATGACTGAATGACACAAGTAAAGTTTTATTGTCTTAATATACTGAGTCTCAGGTAAGTTAAAGCTTGAAACAGGTGAGTTTGCTGTTTCTGTATCCTGAATAAAAACTGTAGGAACAGGAACAACTGAATCCAGCAGACTGTATATTTCCCTCTCTGAACATTTACATTCAGTCAGTATAACGGACTCCATCTGCAGCTGCAGAGCCAATAACAGGTTCCAGCAGCGTGTTAGCAGCCGTATATGAGGCAGTTACTCAGCCACATACTGCTGCTGTCTGCGAGCGCTGCTGCCCCAAAATACCAACAATTTCACTACAATATGAGCTTTCTGTTGATCGACGACCACCCGGTTTTTAAATCACACTGCGACGTGGTCTCATAAACCCAGAACTCTCCAACATCGCTCAGCCCGAAGTGGACTGTAATCCTCTCAGAACTCTGCGGTAGGAGTTCGAACAGATGGGTAAACAACTTCATTTCACTGCTTCCACTCGTCATTTGCTCCAATCTGTGATTTTACAGCTTGCTGTTGCACAAACGCTGTCGACATCTGAGCAGCTGTTTTCATTCATTCTGTTCTGAGCCGAGCCCCGAGAGGCAGGTGAGGGTCACCTGTTGGTGTCGGGACGCGATTAGCTTAGCTTCATTCAAAAGTACACCCACAAAGCTGACTTTTATCTACTGGTTCCACTCTTTACTGGCAAATAAAGTCCCAGTACAGCGACTGTGTGCAGCTTCCAAAAGCCATAGAATGTAATTTTTACCTTTGTGTGTCTGTACAGATTAAAACAACAGAGTCCAACTGCAGCACGTCGCTCCCTGCTGCTCATATAGTTCACTAGATATTATATGAAGTATCTGACTGGTCTGACCTTTCATTTGACTTTAAATACATGTTTGTATCTCGCTGCTGCTCAGACTTCGAGGTTAAAGGAACATTTCTTGTTTTCGTTCTTTTCACTAATAAAAGAATAAATCAGAAATTCACTTTTGACTTTTATTTCCAGGGAGCGATGCAACAACTTCAGTGGTTTCAGTCCAAACTCGTGATGAATTATTATTATTTATGGTTTTATAGGAGGT